TTACTTGACCCCAAAGTTATCTTCGTTTGGTCACTTCGTTGCCTTCGAAGGTTCACAGGATGAGACTGTGGTTGTGCCTGTTCGAGACTTGAAGATTGCCTCACCGATTCGTTTTGTCGCTGGACTTGGGATGTTGTGTGAAATTCCAAATTCCAAGAGTGGAGTGAAGCCAGACAGGATTGAAAGACTACCGAATGATCTTTCGAAACCCCAGAAGTTGGTTGATTTGCCCATCCATGAAGGGGAACCACCTTGGTATTGGAGTGAAGTGAATAAGACTTCGAGATGTCCAGCTTGTTCGAACGGGAGTGAAACAGGTCATTCAGTGAAGTGTCGGAACCGTTACAAAAAGTATCTTGAAGAAGAGTACAAACGGATAGTACCGATCGAAGACGAGTCGTCTGTGCCCGTTGTGCCTGAAGGATTGGAAGAAGGCTTGGATACCGAAGAAAAGCCTGAATCTCAGCAAGAGTCGGGAGAAAGAGTTCCAGAATCAGAGTCAGAACGAGAGAAGAGGAAAAGAAAGTCTATCGATGATGAGTGGGATAGATTTCATCGCGAGCATGAAGAGAAAGAGACTGGAGAGAGATTTCCAGAGTTTGATGATGTTCCGTTCCATCTCGCATCAGGCGGTGCACTGCTTTCCTAAAGCTCTTCTTCGTGCTCCAGGTTGAGCTGAGCCCTTGTGCCCCGGTGGGGCCTGCTATTTGCCCTATTCCACAGTTCTTTTGGAGGGTACCGGGGGGAAACTTGACCTATCGGGTCTCCTCCCCTCCGTCGTGGACCGGAGGGAACCCTCACCTCTCATGGACCAAAAACGTTGCCAAGACTCGCTGAGACACCGTGGTCCACGCCCGGACTTGGGACCGGGATACTCGCCCTTCAGCCAGTATGCCGCAAGCAGCAGCAGCCAGAGCGTGCCAGCTGCCACATTCAAAAACGGCGGAAGTTGATCAGGAAGGTGCGGTGCCCGCTGTTGGGGGGCTGGCTTTCTGGCCATCTCGAGCATAGAGGCTTGGACAGCACCAGGACAAGACAGGGTTGGCCAGCGAGGCCAGAGAACAACAGCAGGACAAGAGAAGGAGCAAGAGGAGAACAGGGTTGGCCAGTGCAGCACAGAGGACAAGAGGAGGACAACGGCTGGAGGACAACAGCAGGACAAGAGGAGAACAAGACCCGGACAGAGCCCAGACACACAGTTCAAAATGCTAAATCCCAACAGTGAACAGGAAAAATGTCAGTCTCTTTCTCCAATGTCCGAGATTTCAGCAAGGTCATTTCCTTCGCTTGGATGCGCCTTGCACCTCGAGATGCTGCCCGAAAATTAGCCTTGCAGGCAGAGCGTTCTTTTTTGGACTTGAAAAGATGTGGTCTTGGTTGGTTTTGTACTGTTTCCATCGTTTCATGGCATACATTTCGATGTGTGTGTCCTTCAGCAGTTTCGATTGAAGACGTTGTTGGTATGAAGAATGAAGCCGTGAAGGTGCACCAAATTTCGCAGTTCACACCGCAATCATGAGCTACCGTGCGTTTGTCAAAGCAAACATCAAAAACCAACAGTTTTGATGACCAGGTACTGTTCATCGAGGTTTCCGCGTCAGGGTTGACATGTACATCAAATATATAGTCATAGTCATGTCCAAATATTTGTTTGGAAACCTGTGTTCCTGTCGTCGTGTGTTTAACTCCGACACAGTTCACTGGGAAACCCGCCAACAGGAAACCTGATTCAATGAAATTGTGCCAGCATAGATTTTTAACAGGCCGAAGTTGACATGGCCCAAACCTTGTGCTTGCTGTTTGCCCTTACGATCATGCACCGACGCCGATCCCTGAATTTTGGTTCCTTGTAGTGTATGTTTGGCAGGAGTTGTTTGATTCTTGAAGGTAATTACGTTTTGAGTTAGACTCTGGCCTTTGGCAATGATCATGTGAATGACATCGTGACGGTCACCTGAACAACACCATACAACACCCCGAGTCAATCTTGACCACCAACGCACAACTTAGAAACAGTTTGCTTCAGTGATACCAGGAACTGGTTCCGCAGCATCTCCTTTGTTCCTTTGTCGTCATGATTTGCAGACGGGCGTTGTTTTGCTTCAGGCGCTCGCTTGTTGAAGTTCTTGCCTGGTTTCCGAAGAACATTTTCAGCGCGTGTTTTGAAGGTCGTACGATTCAGGTCATTTTCCGGGTGGATTAGATATAGCGGCTCATGTAGTGCTGAAAGAGAGGAACTGTGAACTTTACATATATTGGTTGTGTGTGGCCAATGTATGTTTAGATGGTGCACTCTTCTTGCTCGGGCCTTCTTGGTTTTCTTTGCAGCCGTTTGTACTCAGATGATAGACCTTTGAGGTCCGCACTTGGCCTTCTTTTGGGAGAACAAAACAGTTCCGACCCGGAAGAAGGTGACCCCATTCCGCCTGCCCTTTCCGCATCTGGGGATCCAGAGGTGCTTGGGGGGCACAGAAGTCCTCAGCCAGCATTCGAACACAAATGTTGACTGTTGATAAATCCACCTCCACCCCTACCTGAATTTTGGTCACACATCTTTGGATGGATTCCAGATATAGTGGTCCCCAAGTAGATAGTGGCACGGTTTCCAATACGTTTTCTGTGGGGATCTGCTTTTCTGTCTAGACATGGGGGTCTATATCAAAACATTGGATTCATCCGACGCGTTAGGCCTGGAACTGCCCGGTGGCATGCCACCCACGCCTCAAAGCCTTTGGGCCTCTCGCTCTGGCTTTGTTGGTTCGAAGCACGCGAGCACGCGGTGTCGTTCAGTTGGCATGACATGTGAACGAGACTTACTTGGAAGAGACTTCGAACTTCTGGACAGAGACCTTCATGAGGATCTTTCCGAACTGACCATGAAGCTCTTCTTCCAAACTGCCGTTGGGGGAGAGTTTCTTACAGCAGATCGAAACCGGCTGAGGCTTCATTGGTCTGGGCAACATGGGTTCGCTCCTCAGCACCGACGCGGTGGACTCCGCCCTCTTGTGCTCTCGGCTGAGGTGGTCCCATGGCACGCAACTTGATGAAGGCCGGCCACGAGGCGCCCGGCGCGGGCGCGCGACCTGGGTCGCTGGTGCGGAGCGGAGCCCGCTAGACCTTGCGACGGCTGCTCTCGGAGTTGGTCAAGTGCGACCCACCTCCCAAGAAAAACACACACACACACACACACATCGGGCCCAGCTTGGAATTATGACATGTCTTCCAGATCGGAGGTCTCCCTCCTCAAAAGGAACCTTCATACCGGCAGGTGGTGGGCTTCGATGTGTCTGCCTCCAACCTGGCCGCCTTTGCCGACGCCGGTGGTCGACCCTTGGAGTGGCCCGGCTCCACACGGGACCCGGAACGCTCCGCCAGCGCTCCGCTCGACCAAAAGAGAACCATGGTCATTGGCCTGGTCACTGAGTGCATTCCACATAACTTCTTTGGGTTCGGCCCCTACCCTCGGGTCTGTGGATTCGTCTAGCGAACCAAAACGACAGACCGGACAGACCACCCTCCCCTGCATTTCACGACGCCTGCTCTTCGGAACCGGAACCAGCCCGGCCGCCACGAGGTCTCCGTTGGCTGTGGCCTCCGTGGCCAAGACCGTGGTCACCATGCTGCCCCAGGGAAGTCACGTCTTAGAGGCCGGTGACCGAAGGAATCGATGCAAAGCCGCGGTTTTGGCGGCCGCGGTTTTGGCGGTTCTTCCCGGGACGGCTCCCGTGTGACCGCATGACGATCTCGAAACACGCCATGTGGAAGTTTCACAGTGATCTACATGTTTTAAAACGGATCTACTCAAAAAGAACTGAAAATTGAAAATTCGAATGTTGGATTGTGGAAACACGTCTTGCAATCTCTCGAGCACAAGCCCGGCCGCTCGCCAAGAATCTTCCGAGGGTTCATTTGAGAGGGACTCTCCCCGAGACTGACATACCTGGATCTTCCACTATGCAAAATGTCTGGCTTTTCATCTATGTATATATATATAATATTTTCATCTATGTATATATATATATTTATACAAGCAGCCAAAAGGCAGACCTTTTGCATACTTGGAAGATCCAGGTATGAAGTTTCCAACGTTCCCCTTGATGCTGGACTCATTTTTTGGAAGCTGAGGGGTTATGTTCTGCTTCCTTGAGTAAGTTTGAGGAACGGCTTGTGGGCCGTGTTTTTCGGCGGTTGGTGTGACGGGGTTTTGGTGAAGCCAAGCCCATGTGCGGGCACGAGCATGATCCTGCTGAAAGTACTCCGGCCTTAGCCATAGGTTTTGTTCATTAATTGTTGATGGCTTTTGATGCAAACCCCTGAATCCAACCTGAGATTTTGATGCTTTCGTTTTGAAGGACCACTTTCTGAGATTTCACCGGAATTGCACCGAGCTTTTGTCGCAGACACACACATACACTGGTAACTCTCATCACCCAAGATGTGCTTTTTTTCGGTCCGGCGAGGTCTATGGTGGCAAAGAGGGGCTGCTGGCTGATGGGGGAGATTCTTGACAGACGATTTAACACGCCTCAAATAAAAAGAACATTAAAACAAAGCTTTTGAGTATTTAGAGTGAGCCACTTTCTTTTTGACACAACCCTGTCTCGTTCTTCTTTATTCTCAGCTGGTTGCGCTCAAAGACACCGTCGCTGGCGCTCCGCTCAAAACCGCCGCCTCCGTGGCCGCCACCGGCCGAATTCCGAGCCGAGCCGAGGCGGAGAATGGATCGTTGCTGATCGACTGCTCCACCTGCGAGCCGGCGATCGGGCAGCAGGCGAGGGAGGGGCGCGGTGCGGGGCGGAATTGGGAGGAGACGGGGTGGGGTTGGGTGGGGAACCCGGCGGGTGACGGAGGAAGAAAGAGAGCATCTGCAGGGGTGAGAACGCAGGTGAGAAGGCAGGTGAGAAGGCAGGGTGGTGGTGACCGAGGAAGATTGAGGGACCGGTTGAGATTGGTCTATCGTGATGGGTTCGGAGCCATGACCTCAATAGAGATTTTATGTTTTTCTTTTGCGTTGTTTCTGCATGATGTTCTTCCTGTGCGTGATAGGCACATAGCCAGCCATTTTCATGCCTTTTGTGTTTGCAGGTGGCGCGGATGGCGAGTGAACGAGGCATGGAAATCACCAGAAGTTGACGGTGATGTCTTCGAGCACCCTTTGAAGCCCCAACCGTGATCAAGTGCCAAGTGTTTGTACATTTGAATGGATGAAACAAGTTCATGTTTTGGGAACTTCTCTCATCGCTTCATCTGAGTGGTCTGAGCTCTAACCACTAACTAACGAGGACGCTATGCTGGGTGGAGTAGGTTGGAGGCCATCGCTACTAGAAACAAGAACCTAAGTTTTATTCCTTCTTCTCATCTTTCAAGTTTAGCATTCCTCCGCAGATCTGCCAAGAAAAGGCGCAGTTGCGGAGAAACGCGCCCCGATGGGAGCGGGTGAGGCGTTTCAGCTGTGGATGCTCCTGTGTCTGGAGGGACACCAGCAGCAGAGCAGGCGGATGTGGAGCGCGGACGGAAGCGGATTCCGCCAGCTGCAGATGTGGAACCGGGTGGTTTCAGTTGGCAAAATGGAGGTGGATGAGGACAAGTTTTCCAGAGAATCCTTTTCAGTGCCTCGAACAGAAGAGAAGAGACCCCAGACAGCCTCAGGCCTCCAACAACCAACAGTGTTCTAATTTACACTCTCTGAATTCATCGTGAAAACCACCCGTTTGGTCTAAAACGGGCCTAAACGGGTCTTGGGTCATCCAAGTCTTCGGGGCCAAGTGTCCTGCGTTCGGAGAACGTGGGTTTGACGATGATTCCAGGGGCCGAACTGCCATCCGTTCTTTTTGTTTTCGATCTTTTTGGAAGAAAGTGCGCGATCTAAGGCCTTTTGGATTACTGACCTTCATGGTTGCCATGGTGTGTGTCTGTGTCTTGCAAGGCGACCCTGACCTTCATGGTGGGTGGGTCGGGAGCCTCAGGGACGTCTAGGACGACACCCGGCCACGGCGGCCACTTGGACGGGTTTGTGTCTGAAAGCTTTTGGGCAGATGTCAAGGTCCGATCCCATTTCAAACCACCACTGCATCCCTTTGTAGACAAAACCACTTCTTATTGCTCCGTCCTTTTTCATGTCGACGATTTGGTCCAGAGGCCAGAGCCTTTGTTTCAAGCGGCCAGCGCGATCCTTCAGCACATGGGGAAGAAGGCCCAAACCCGGAAAGGAGCCCTTTGAAGGAATCACCTGAAATCAGAAATGGAGAACAATTCTGTTTCTTCATGAGTCTTTCTGTTTCTTTATTATTATGAGCTTCTTGCAAACCTTCTTTGTGACTTTGCTGTTCCAGCCCCACTGGGAGGTCGTGTACTGTGGTGATGCCGGCATGGGTCAGGCCCAGCATCGCTCACCAAACGGAAGATCGCCCCAAGCTGGAAGAGGCGTCGTCACTACGACTCTGTTAAGGTAGCCAAATCTTTTCCAAGGCCTTCTCTCTTTGAGGCCTCCTGTTTTTCTTTTTCGGGGAGGGCGATTCTATCCCATCCTTCTTCCCTTTTTCGGGTGTGGGGGTACTCCATCTACTTCAAACGTTTGGGTCCATGATCTGGGTTCATGACAGCGGCGAAGCAGAGGTCGCTCACTGGTTTTGCCCAGGGTGCGAAGTGGGAATCTTCCTGAGGCAGAATTCCACATGTTCCTGAGGTTTAGGGAGTAGATGCAGTGAATCTATTTAATTCATAGGTTTGATGCTTTAGGCCCTAGGCTTTGGATGTGAGACTTCTTCATCAATCCTTCAAGGTCGGGATTTCTGGCTCGTGGGATTTCTGAATGGAAGAGGAGAACGTGGGGGATTACCAGATATCCACGTCGTTGAACCCTCCAATGGAACGTAGGATACGCTGATCTTTCATACGCTTTTGGAAGGTTCTTTGAGCTGGAACCAACATTCTTGGGTGCGTCTTGTGGATGTGCAAAGAGTCTCGCCCTCAAATGCTCCGCCTACAAATCCAAGACATTGGTGTCAGGGCCGAACAAACCAGCACAAGTCCCAGCACCAGGTTCCGGGTCTCTTGACCGGGGCCTAGCGGACTGCTGCAACATCCAACATCCAACTTCCAACGTGGGAAGAGGAAGGACCATGGAACAACGCCACGCGGATGAAATCCATGCTCACAGCAGTAACAGGCCCTCGAATCCATGAGAACAGGGGGTTAGAATCCCATGTAGAAGCCCCAAACCATGACAGATCGACAAATCACACTCAACTGATCCTGTGTTACAGGATCTCAAAGCATCGGAATCAGGGCCCTGTGAGATAGATCTCATCTCACCGGATGAATCATCTCAAGCTCTCATCCAAAGCTACTCTCCTGACCTTCATCTTCTATCCCAGCCCCCTTCTTTGGCCCCTTTGTTTCCTTGTGAACAGCAGGCCGCCAAGCTGTGTAACAACCTGGTGCTGGGCATCACTATGGCCGGTGTTTGTGAGGGCCATGCTCTGGCGGAGCGCTTGGGCCTTGATCAGAAGAAGCTGGCGGAGATCCTGAACACGAGCTCTGGCAGGCGCAGCCCGCTGCGGAGCGCGCTCCGCTGCAGCGCTCAGCAGTGGCGGAGCGCTGACCGTTGTTTGTTGTGTCTCGCTATCTGGAGAGTAGATCGAGTGCCTTCTGTTTTTCGGGGGTGGGGTGGCCCTTCAAGTGGATAGAAAGACTAGCAATGCCATCATTTTAGGTCGTTTTACATGAAAGAAATGCGTTTCATCTCTGCAATCTCTGCGGGTTTAAGTGACAGATATCCACTAGTATGGAGATGAAGAAGAGTCCGTGTTTGGGCACTTCTGAATTCCGCAAACCCAGAGATTCGCACTTCAAGGCTGTTTCTTCAGGTGCTGGAGCAGCGAGGTCTACAATCCCTGCCCAGGGGTGATGGAAGGAGTGCCTGGCTCAGAGTGACACGAAAGCGAGGCATCTCCAATCCAGTCTTCTCTTCCGTCTGAAGGAGTTGATGAAGCAACATCCACAGTGGTAGATGATGTGTAGGTTCATCATGCTTGTCCTCTTCTCTTCACCTGCACTGCTTCTCTTCACCAGGAAGCCTTAAGGATTCGGTCCGCCAGCGTTCCTTGTGGGCAGACTGATGCGAACAACATCCCCTCGGTCCATCAGTGGGTCCCCATGACTTCGGCAATTGGTGCTCACCTTCCCCATGACGACAGGGGGTTTGTAGAGAGCTCTTCTCGGGTGGTTCTTCCAGTGCGAAAAGTCCTTTGGGTGCTAAAGCTGGTTGGTACATGTTCCAGGCCGCTAAGCACCAGGTAACGACAGCACACTGAAACCACTGCAACAGAGTTTTCGGCAGCAGCTTGATACCTTAGGGTTGTCCCCCCTCATCCGGAAATTTAACTTCAATCAAGAGTTCATGACCTTCATGTACTCAACAAAAGAAAATTGAGTGGAATGAGGGCTTGTTGGCAGGGGACGGAGATGGATACAGCTCCAAGCTTACTCAACCTGTATGGGTACTCATCAAAGAAAAGGGGAAAGAACATGTTCCTATTCTTCACGACTCGCATCGAATAGCTTTGATGAGGTTCCTGCAGCTCGAGGGTACACCGGAGGCTTTGCCTGCGACTTGATGCTCAAGGACGGTGCGTGCCCGGGGCATCTTTCGGCGTCAAGCCGCCGCCAAGGCAGTGCGTGGAGTCCACCGTCGTCGACACCCCTCGACACCGCCGTGGCCCAAAAACCAGCTGATCCCGTGACCACAAGGGTCCTGGATCGCGAACGCATGACCCAAGGGTCCGTGTCACTTGGATCGGTTGGACACCATGAACCCCTTTGTTTGGGGACGAGCAAGATCCGAACCTCTAAAGAACGCCGAAAACGGATGCGACGAACACTCCCCTTTGGTGATGTCCTTTCGCTTTGACCGACGTCACCAGGATTGACCGACGTCACTCGCTACTGAACCGAAATGATGAACCGATCACATTATAGGTGCGTTTTTCTGTGGAGATGTCCCACATTGACAGGGTCGCAGGTGGAAAAGAAAGGATATCAAACCTGGCCCATATGACCTATGGCACAAACACGGCTACCTGTTGGTATTTTTTTGCTTTGAACCCTTGTATGTGTCAATCTTTGCTCAGCATTCCAGGACCTGGGTCTGGCGACGGGCGCTGCCCTGGCATCCAAACCCAAGTTGGGCTTACCGATGGGAGGTGCGATCATTCCTTTTCATGCGCCATGTGGGTATGCATTCATATAAATAGGGAGACCCCCAACCATTGGGTTGGAAACCCGGTCTCCCAACCATTGGGTTTTGGTCTATATATTTGCCTTCTTCCAGGAGGTCTTCCTTTTTCCCTACAGAGGGAGAGCTATTGGGGTTCTTACTTCAAGTATAGGAATAGGTGCCTGTGTGCGCTTTAGAGCTTGGGTGCTGGTCTGCTAGACTGACTCGCTGCCTGGCTGCTGCCAGGCTTGGCCCTCCAAATGTACTCGCAGATGAGTGCTCGAGGTGATGGAACGAAGGCAGGTGAAAACCCAGCGCTGGCGCCACTCGCGCCTTCCGAGGTGGCCGTTTGCCTGGCGGCCGCTGCCATGGCGATGGTGATGTCCAAGACTAGATGTTGACTGTTGATCAATAAAACCACCCCAGAAATGGAGATGTAACACCCCATATGGAGATGTAATACTCTTCTGGTAGGGGGGTCATGAATCAATAGTCCACATCAAGTGGGATGATCCCGAAACCGAAGCAACCAGTGCATATACGGCGCATGCCTCTGAAACTGAGCCTACAACGGGGCGCAAGCCCCCCGTTTTTGGACTCCCCGGCCCAAAAAGCACTGGTCTGTGTGTGCTTTGGATGGATTGGATATTGGTCGGGACCCCCCATCCAGACATCTCCAGACAGCTCCAGACAGGAACCAGCAAGTGTTTCACTCGTGTCTGACAAGTCATCCTTATGACTCTTGGCAGAATCCTGAACACCACAAAGCTTTTATGAGTCAAACAGCCAGTTGTGAGCCGTTGGTTTCTTGACCAAGATCCTGAACAGCGGCCCATCACTGACCACCATTCATATCGGACCGAAGAAAACGATTCAGCCACCATGAAGGCACGGAGCGGCGATCTTGCCGGCACGTGCGAGAACCGCCGCGTGCGCCAGCCGCGCCGGCAGGATTTCTCGGGGCTCTTCCTACATATTTCTGAGAAGAAAGAATAGGCCGCGACTCGGCGCGCGACTCGAGCCGAGATCGTGGTGCAACGTTGTGTGCACCCGAGTCTTTTGGACCTGGTGCATCTATCTCGCCTCACTAGCTAGGGGCTATTTGCACGCTTTTGTTTTAATCAGGGCTCGAAAATGTGTCTCTCCTCCCTTGACTGAGCAAGTCGATGACTATAGAGACTAAAAACGTGAAGAGCTGTGGCTACCGGTATACCACTCGACGGCGAGACTTGACTTGGAGCCATGACCGGCCATGCCTTCATGTACAGAGCATTGGCACCGCCTTTGAAGAGTTGTGTCCTTCTTTGCATGAGACACTCACCGGTTGCTCGCAGAAGATAGAGCTCAGAAAATGAAGGCTCACTGTGCTGCTGCAGTTTTGGTCAGAACTCCTTCACCGGCGCACAGAAAAATAAGGGTCTGTTGGAACCTCCCCTAACAAGCAACGAAACATTCCGAAACACCCGAACAAAAATGACCTCTAAACAAGAATTCTCCTCTACAAAGCAATGCTTGTCAGGTTCTTTGTAAACCTTCTGCACTGGGAGTGCGGCCGAAGGCCTCTCATCACGAAAGCAGGGCGGGGCGGGAGTTTGGAGACGTGCCGACAACAACAACACCCTGTTCTTCTAACCAAGCAAGCAAAGGTGCCGTTGCTTGCAGCCGACCAGCACCCTCCAGCACCCTCCAAAATATGGCCACCCCAACAATTACCAAGGTGCCCTCTGAAGGCGTTGAACCATGTGACCTGCAAGCCAATGGCTCTGAGCACTTCCTTCCCCCGCTGGAGCAGCGGCCGCGACGCGTGGCTTCTACCAGCAGGTGGGTTGAAGGGGGAAGTCTTGTAGTGTTCCTCTATATTTTGGGTTTGGAAGGAAATGGCTAGACTGGTCTATGGTCTATCTTCCTTCTTCCAGAAATTCCAACTGACTGGTCTTCCTATTGTATAAAAGTCAGATGCAATCTGAAAGCCTCAGAATCCCCAGAAATGGCAGTGATATATACATTAGGACCAACCTGGAAGCATGCAGCAACATCACGCAGAAATCTCATGTGTCTAGTAACTGGGTCACGTTCTGCGCGCATTGCGCATCTCCACTCGTTTAGCTCCAGCAGTAGCTCTACACCTGAAACTCAACGAACCACCTGTTTCGTGCCATCCACTTCCATATTACCTTGATGATCAGGAGACAAAACACCACACCCACTCTTTCCCACCTGGCAGCTGGTGGGTTTTCACACCTCAATACATTCATATTTGCATGTTTCAAGTGCCTTGATATGGCCCTGGGTTCAATATCTTGTACCCCACCCTTCGCCCCTTAACCCTCCTCCTATCGGCTCCAGGTGTCGCCCTGGGGGCCGTGGCCGTGGCCGTGGCCCCAGCCGACTCGATTGGACTCGTCCGAGTCGGTGAGGATTCAACACGGACCCATCAACGAACAAGTCTTTCTTCGAAGCCAACGAACTGCGGATTCCGTGCGGATTCCTCTTCACCATCAGACGGGTGCGGATTCCGTGTGCACCACACCAGCATGCACCTGCGCAATCCTGCGCATGTGCATGCGGCTTTGAGGTTCTGTTGCGCCGCTGGCAAGCGCTGTCGACACGCTTTCTTCTCCTATCTCCAAAAGCATGAAAGTGGACCTTCAAGATGGCTGTGGGTCAACACAAAACATCCAACACATTGAACATTTTGCAATGAACTCTTCAATATGTTCTTGCTTTATTGGGATGTTCACCACTGGATGACCCACAGCCAGGCTTGACATAGCCCATGTTGGACCTCACTGTCCTGCCAGAACTCCTGGCGATTCGTGGGGCGAAGGCGAGGACTGTGCCAATCAAGTTCACCAAAACTCTTGGCTCAGACCAATCCCAAAGCATTTGGCCAACTTGGCTAATGAAGCTCAAAGTGACCCTTTTTTGGCAGCCTCATATGAACATGAACCTTCCACTGGACAAGAAGTTGGCACCCACGAACAAGTCATCTCCAAGACCACACAAAAAGGACGACAAAGGTTTGGTCTTGAAGCTGCGGCAGGCCAAAAAGACCCCATCCCCAAGCCACTTTGCACCGAAAGCTCCTCCGGGCTCCTCCGGGCTCCGCCAGGTCCGACTTCACCGAGGGGCCTTGCGGTGCGCGCGGTTGGCCCATTTCGTCGTGTCGGCGTTCCCCGGGGTTGAAACCGCCGACGGAGGCTGGGAGATCCTTCCCTTCGACTCGGAGGGCCATGAAGCTTGCGTGCTGCCCACCTGGCCCGTCCTTGGAGCACGGTAGCATGAGTGCCGGCGCAGGGCTGGGCCGCGCAGGACGTGCCGTTGCGCAGGGGCGGTACGCGAGGCGAAAGCGCAGAAAGCTGGTGGTTTCCGTCGGTTTGGTTGGGTCATACGCGATTTCGGAGGGGGAAGAAGATGGAAGAAGGGAAGGTACGCTTTCTCTTTTCCTGAACAGTTAGGTGTTCTGACTCTGACCGTTTTTCTGCCTGTATGGACGTCCATGACAGGCACCGGAATGGTCAATGGCTTGCTTTCAATCGAAGCTGTCCACATGCGGGGATTGATCTCATCGTCGGTGGTGACATCGAGGACCTGAAGTTGACATTTGGCCATTCGTTGGACTACTGTACAGAAACTTGTTTGCCCATCGCAGCAAATACTTTATATATATATATATGTGTGTGTGTGTTTTTTTATTTTTAATTCTTTTGCAGTATTTTAGAGTACAGAACCAGAAACTTCTGTCCTGTTTAAGACTTCACCAGGACTTGTCGGAGCTGGATGCCGGGGCGCCTTCCTCAGCCTTTTTCTATTTTTTCGGAGCGGAGAAGAACCAACTCGTGCCCGACTTCCACGAGGTGGTGATTGCTTGCCCGGCTCATACCTACCTCTTCGACCCAATCCATGGCACCTGCCTTTGGGTCGGTGCCTCAGTTCTGGGTTGGATGGTCAGCAAATGTTCAGAGCTAACCGTCTTCGTCTTTGACTGAAGCATGAGATGGAACATGGGGTTTCACTCACTCTTCGCAGACATTCTTTGCCATCGCCTTGTTCTCAAAGCGGCCATGCATCATGGTCACGTGGCTAGCTGGTGGAGCATTTGGAGAGCATAGATTAAAAGGATTTAGAATGTCTCTTATCCAAGCGTTCTAACAATCCAAATGAGTGGATATTGCACCCCCCCCTTTCCTTTAAGAACTATCCCCTTTCTAGGAATCCCTAAATCAAATCACTTGGCTTCTAGGTCGAGAAATTCTCTCACACGTATCTCATTTCTTCCAGGATGCAACCAGAGGGCTGCCAGAGACGCCTCCTTTGCAAACCTACGAGGCCTGCCCAAAAATGGTCAAACCGGTCGTGGAGTTCAACTTGTTGGAAGTGAATTTGACTGAATAGGACCAAAATCCAAGCTGAGCCATCCTCTTTCTGTTACGCTAGAGTAGAGGCTAGAGGCCATGTGTTCAAACCAAGTTTATGAACCTGAAACTGCAGTATGCACGACTGTGCAACTGAGATCATCACCAGCCGGCGGCCCAGGTCTATGAGCGATGTGCACGGATTTGGGCTGGGAGCCCTCAGTCCTGGGTGGGCCTGAAGGCTCGTTTTCGGCTCATGGCGCCGACCGTTCACGATCCCATCACGACCGTTCACCTAGTAGGGTGAAGAAAGAGCGTTTTTCGTTGCGCTGTCGTAGAGCTCCCCCTTTGATGTGGGCTGCTTAAGATGAAGAACCGCCCGAATCAACCGATCGCTGGCCAGGGGTCTCGGTGTTTCGCTGTTGCTCAGGTTCGGCCGAGAGAGAAACCAAAGCCCGTCTCCAAAGAAGACTGGGATCAGGCTGGTCAGTGGTTAGGTGCGGGAAGAACAGGATATGATAGCTAAGGCCTATATTTAAGTTTCCCTAAACATCTAGTGCGAGCGCTTCTTTAAAAAATTATATAGCTGTTAAAATAAAAAGGCCTTATGAATTGGCTGGCCCTTTGAGTGGTGAACAAGGTAGGAAGAAGACCAGTTTGCGGAAGGTCCGTGTTTTCAATTGCTTTGTTTTCCGTCGGGGTTTGGTGAGGTTCCAGAAAATAGATCCTCAGGGCCCAGGATCAAGATCCTCAGCGGGCCTCTCTGTCTGACGTTTTGCCTGAGTGTTGGTGCTGTGTCCTCATTGCTTTGGATTTGGAGTTTCTGAAGTTCTGAGACAGGCTCGAGCAGATGCACTTCAACTTGCGGCTGTTGACAAAGCGTGTCCTCCTTAGCTACCACCTGATAGTCTTGAATCACACATCCATGGCTTTGGTGGTCGTTGTCCAGGCTGGCCAGAAAGTTCCCCGATTGATGCGTGATGGATGGGAGTGCGTGCTGTTCGCTCGACTGTTCATTCGAAAACAAAGGCACGCACAGTGAGACGCAGAGCATTGGCACGGCTTCTGTTTAGCACCCCTGGATGCATGTTCACAGTTGGAGAAAGGAATCTGTACAGGCTTCCTGGACAAATGGCTGAGACCAGCTGAAAGCAAGTTGCATGAGTCATGGGCTTGAATGAAGACAGGGTAGCCCTCTCTAGAGACCAAAATTCTTCCAAAAGCAGAACGAAAAGAAAGAGAAACCATGGACCTTGATGGGCGAAGCAGCACAACCTTATTTTTTTTGAGGAAGTGAACTGTATTCGATTCAGATACTGATGAACCAAGACCTGAAGTGTTTCTTCAGCTGGCTCTTTTTCTCAAGAGACCACCTCCACGACGAGAGATCACCTCCACGATGAACGATGAGAGACCACCTCCACGATGAGAGGCCAAAGCCAAGGATAAGTCTAATCAGACCAACCAGTGAGACTTGTCTGTGCCGCCATGCCCGCTCTCCGATCAGACAAGGCGTCGGACTGAGCTCAGTATCCCAGTATCCAAGCACAAGGCGTCGGACAGCCATGTCAACATCAGGAAGCAAGAGAACGCTGAATCTCCTCCTGTGAAGTGAACAACACTTGTATCACCTTTTGGCAGGGTGTTGTTTTCTCCGCCTTCTCACGTGTTCTTTCGGGACAGAGCCATCGAACATGGGGCGTGTCCTTGAATCGGTAGACTCCCTCTGGTCCAATAGGTTTTTGGGTGTAGCGGAAACATAACGGTACTTTTAGAGAGGCCAACACTGGTTTGTGCGGGATGACACACGCAGACCCCTTCTTCGGCTGAGACCCGAACTTCTGCTGCCCTTTGGCCGGCCCTGCCTGCTTTGAGGCCGACGAGGACTCGCGGCTCTTCATCGAGTGGGGCCCCTGAAGCCACACACCACGCACGCCTGATGTCCCGTTCGGTCGCCCACAGGCGATTGCTGCTGCCACCGGGGACGACGTGTTCACGGGCCGCCTCCACCGGGCGCCGGGGTTTGGAGGGTCTGGGGGATTGGACAGAGAGGTTTGGATGGCAAGGTTCGCCTTTGGGGAGGAAGATGGACTTGGCGAAGGGTGAACTCAGACTTGCATTCTTCGGTTCAGCCAGGTTGTTCTTCTTTATGCTGTACTGCTTCGACAGGGCCTCAGACTGTCCCTCTTGGCCCAGCAAAAACTGGATTCTTGACCAGGTGTGGACCAGCTGGTATATTGCAGGGATCTCAGTGCTTGGACTTCCAAACCAAAAAAACACACCCGCCTTTTATGCCACGTCTTCATGCCCCTTCTTTTCGCCCACTGCTTTCCCAGGCGGCCGGCCGAGTGACCTGCCCCGCCGAAGCCGCCGCTTCGGAGGCGCTGCGACCCCTCCAGAGGGTGTTTCGACGGGTCACTGGGCCAGGCTGGAGCCCTTTCCCAGGCTCCGACGTTGGACGTGGGGAGTCTCAGTTGGACGTGGGTGGCGTGGCGTATAGGTGAGGTGAAAGAAACCCGAGCGCTAAAGCATAAGGACACCAGTTGACCATAGACCAGAGGAGCTGGAGGGGCCGAAAGGGGCGCAAAGGTGGTGTCATCTTCTGTTGTTGGGAAGATGCCGTGACAACCAGTGATCAAACTGGCTTTGTTGGGACGATGAAAGCAGCTGGACAGGATGCATCGAGAAAAAAGAAAGACATCGGAAAGACCGAAGAAATACCACGTGGGAAGACCATGACACTTGAATACAAAACATGGAAACTATGACCAACGGGGGTTCTTGCCATAAATTTCAGGGACCTGTCACTCCAAAATGAGGGCCCGACTCAGTCAGTTTTGCTTGCTGGTTCTTCGAAGCTTCTCAAGGTCGATGATCCTACAAAGACCTCACTTGTCCGACCAAATCCACACAGTGAAAGCTGAACATGTGCAGACATGAGCAATGGACAGATTCGTGGGAGAGTTACTTGATCTTGCTTCAATTGCTCCAAGCATGGATGAAGCTTTGTCGGCTGTCTGCCCTTTGTTTTGCCCTTGCTAAGGTCCCTGTTTGAGCAGGAAGACTGGGATTCAGGTGAGTTTTACGGCCCCGGTTTATGCAGAAGATGGCTACCTTTCACCTCCGACCAACTCCTGTTCTGAGCAGAGTGAAGCTCGTCTCGCCGAAAGGTCCGAGATGCCAAGTTGAATTGCGAACCACGTAGGTTTGGCCAATGGAGCTGCTTTACTCATTGGATACAAGCTCCAACCTGATCCAAACTTATCCGACCTTGGCAAGATTCACACGAGGGCATACGAGGGTTAATTTACTTATACATATTTCCTTTGATTGAAATTGATCAAATGAATAATAACAATCATCAATAACATGAATTTAATATATATGTATATATTTCCTTCAAATTTATTATTAATTTCATTAAATTATATATATATATTTATATATTATATAAAGAGAAAAAATATAAGATTAAATATATAATATAGAATATATTTATTAACACTATTATTGATATTATATAAATCGATAAATTATCGATTTATTGAAATATTATATTAGATATTCGATATAATTAATATATATAATTATTGAATAATTATAATATAAAAAAAATTAATATATATTTTTAAAATTTATTTGAATATTTGAATATTTGCATTTTAATTTATTTGATAATATATATTTTTTTATTTTTGGAATAATTATACGAATTAATTTCGATATTTGGATTTTTTTTTTTGTTTTTAAATATATTCGATTTTATGAAATTTATATATATATGATATATATATTTTTTGAATTTATTTATTAAAATATATATATTAAAATATATTTATATTTTTAGAATTTTATTATAGGATATGGAAAAAAAAAATCATATAATTTATTTATATTTTAATATAAAAAGAATAATTGAAATATTTATATTTGAAATATTTATATTTTTTTTAATTTATTGTCGTTATATTTGCATTTATAAATGCCGAATTTATTTTTCTTATATATTTATTATAAAGGAAATATATGTATTATGAACGATTATATCCAATCCGAGGTTTCTTTATATTTAAAGAAGGCATTATATAAACATCTTAATATTTTAAGATTTTGATATATATATTATGCTTAATATTTATGCAAATGCATTATCCTTAGAGATTTCCGGTTCTGCATAATTGAAGATAATAGATAGGCAATTTAAACAGATATTTGTAACTATGAAATAGATATTGGCCACCAGATATTGGCTATGCCAATTATGAATTATCCTCCTCCTATCAAAAATATATAATTGTCCTACCTGCCAGGCCAAACTTGGACGTAAAACTTTCACCGCGCATTTTGCATTGCTTATGCGCTTCAGATGATCTGTTTGTCCAATCTTATTATGTAATTGGATTAAACGGGTCCACTTTGGCCTAATAATAGACCATGACATTCTACCATCGCCTGAGGACAACCAACCACTGATCCCTACATAGATCATACTTGTTGCGTCCATGTTGATAGACATAGCCCAGGCTCTGTATCAGGATTGGACTAATTGGTTGATCCAACACAATCGTTCGAATGTCCATGGATTTGGAAATGATGGGGGTCTTCAGGTTTATGGGGAAGACTTTCCCAAGTGCCAACGAGCCGATCCACCATCAAATGACAGGAAAGCCACTGGAATGCATCGGAGTCAACATCTATCGGCTGTGGACGGCAGGACGATTTGCTACAGATGATTGCACGACTCACACTCAAACAGGAGGATTTGCTGAACGAAATGAACTTAGATCGCTCCTTCATGGTATTTGCACAGTGTGGACGCGGCAACTTGATGCCATTGCTCCATTTCGTCAGATCTTGTTACAGGAATTGATTCAGGCCTTGGTAAATCGAATGGGGAAATTGAACCTGGACCAAAATGAAGATGACTTGGTGATATTACGTCCCACGAAGCAGGATCCCATCAATTCCCAAGAAATGGAATAGATCCTACAACGGCTTTTGACCCTGAACAAGATGCCGAATTTGGTGCACCGCTTCGCTGCCCTGCGCCCTCTGAAACAGGACACACTGCCACAGGATGCCGCAACAACCATACCCACACCCATGCTCTGGCCTCCAATGGAGCTATATGTTATCTGAATAGCACGTTTTAAGCGCAGCTCTGGGCTCAGGCCATGACGGCACACTTCATTATAGAAATTTGGGATATATGATAAACGCCATTGACCCGGCTATTGACCAGTCCTGCAGTCGGGCCTTTATATCCATGCCCGGATACCTTCCTTGGTGAGGAATTCCGGAGTTGGCTCTTTTTTTCATTCAACATACGTACAGCATGATACAGGGGAATTTGCTGGATGGATGCGTGATGCCATATTTCGAAAATTAATCCGTCCTGATGGGATTCCATTTCATAGATGGGAGGCACGATTGCATGATATCATTGAGATTCGAGACTTTATTGTTGCTTCCATAATTCTTAGGCACATGCCTTTTGATCATGCTACCTTGCAACAATTTATCCATGCCCGGCATGACAATAAGCCATATTCCAATGCACTATGCTGTCCCAGCCCCATGATATATATTCAACTGGATCACTACTCAAGATTTGATACCAACAATACTTGTGCAATACTTGTGCAATCACATGGCATCGTACTCAGGTCAATATTTCAATATTTGGGTATGAGGGTCTTCAAATTAAATGGATATCCTTTCATGTTGTGGCAGGGATTGTATACTTGGGAGATAATCCCAATTCTAGACATTGTCGTATTGCCCTATTTCATTCGGGATAGATGTTGCTAGCAACTAATTCTGAAATTCCATATCGTTTAATCCATACCAACGAATTCAATCGAAATATCTATTTATTGTGGCTTGTCCTTTGGACACACGCAATCGAACGGCGTCGAATCGATCTCTGCCGATCATTGCACCTAATGTCATTGCTTTAATCATCGATTTTATTCGTTAAAACTTTAATAAACCAATATAATATATATATTATATATATAATTTATAAAAATACAAATTTGAAAGAATAATATTTTACCTTAATTTTTTCTATAATATTTAATTAAAGAGAAATCGTTATTCAAATATTTTCTTTATTTTTTAAATATTGTTTTTGCTTTAATATAAAAAAACAAATATATATATTAGACATTACTATAAATCCAATTATAATAATCTAATAATCTTAAAATATTAAAACATATAAATTATTATATATGCGAATTAATAAAAATAATTCATAAATTTCGTTAAAACAATAAAAAAATAAATCAAAGAAAATAGATATAAACACATAATTAAATATTATAAAGAATATCTAAATATCTACATTATCTTTCTTTATAAAAATATCTATTAAAAAAAAGAAATAATATTTTTATATAAAATATTTTAAAGATATTATAGAATTTATTTTTTAAATTATATATTATTTAATTTAATTCATTTTATAATATTAAACATATATATTTAAGAATATTATTTTATTTAATATTAATAATATAATTTTTATTAATATATATATAATATATCTAAATATATTTTAATTTTTAATAAATCAAATTCTATTATTTTAGATCATTTTAGATCCTCCATTTAGTTATATTAGCATAATAAATTTCTATAAAATTCCTTCAATTTTTTTTAAATCTAAATATATACCTATTTAATTAATTCGCGTTCTCCCTTCTTTTTACCTAATGCAAATAAGCATCTCTACATAAGAAGGTCTTCGAAATAACACACAAAAATCGGTTCAAAAAAAAACAAAATAACGAAACGCTTTAGACAAAATCCTATAAACCATGAATTTAAAAAAATCAACAAAAAAAATAAAATAACAAAAAATTTCGAACAAAATCCTACAAAGCCGATAAAATACAATTAAAATAATAATTATAATTTTCAAATATCTATACCAGAAGCCATAATCTTAAAAATACGATTCATAAAGACCTCCAAAATATATTAAAAAAATAACGATCAAAAATTAATCGATTTTTGTGTTCCATAGAACAAATCAATTTAGTCGTAAAAGACCTAATCACACGTCAAAATTCCCAATCGTCCGAATTTATCCAATTTCTTTAAGAATTTCCAGACCTCCGACCGATCACCAAAGACTCTAACTCGAAGAATCGACGCCTACAAATCGCTCGAATCGAAAACGCTCGTTTTAGGTTATATACTAAAAAAATTGCTCGAATCGTTTCATCGAAAAAAAATATAGGGTCAAAATTGAACCGATCTGTTTCGTTCGCAAATGCTTTTTATAGTCCTAGGGCGAAAAATCAAGAATGACGTTATCGAAAAATATTGCAATCGCTCGAATTCTCTGGTGCCTCGAAATCTTCTTCTTCGTCTATAAAACTTTCAAATGTCGAAAGCCTCAAGACGAGCGACTCTAAATCTTCCATTATCAAAACACTACGATCCATAACTTCTACGATCACGGATTCGCAATCTTTCCACGCTGTCATACTACCGAAGCAATAGGAAGAAAACAAACTCGAATTCTCCTCAAGTGTAATCAATTTAAAACGGCCACAATTAAATTCATTCCTTTCCGGAAACGCAGAAGTTCTTGAACGAACACTACTTAATATGTTCGGAATGCGGGAACGATATTCCAGCCGTCCTCTAAAAATTGCCTAATCGCATAAATTCGCCTAGGTTAAGCTCTAGCGATCCAAAATCGTTTAAACGTACGCTTTTACCATCACCTAATACAATTCGAGAGGCTAATCCTTAAGAACTCGTCGGAAAAAGGCAAGAATTACTACATGCTTCCATAAGCTCCCTAAAGAGGAGCCAACGCCGAAGTCCAGCAATTATCCGGAATCGTTTAACCAATCTTCGGAAAGAAGCTATTTAATTCCCTTCTTTTTGGGTGAGGTCAAGAGCTCCATTATCGACGCCAATTTCACTACGGCTGCTGCCATAAAGTCTTGGGGGAGCTCTTCTTCTTGAATTGGAACTTCTTCCAAGTCCTCTTCGGTTTCCCCCAGCACATGGGTCCTCAGCGGCTTCTTTGCTGCTTGAGTTGCCAGACTAAGAACGTTTAACAATTGACCCTTCGATGATCCAAAAAGTTGGGAAAACTTCTCCAGCTGATTCATGGAAGGGTCCAAGCCTAGAAGACTCGAAATCAGAGGCTCTACAGCGTGCGCTAAAGGAGTTGCACGATGTTTCAAAGCTGGTTTCCGTTCAGGAGTTGTAGAAGTCTTCAATGATGCTACATATTCGACAGCGAAGAAATCATTGCTTCCATGCGGTCCAGGCGATTTAAGATCTGAGGGGCAGGAGCGGCAACAGGAGGAGCCTTCTCTTCCATCTTTGACTCTGCAGTGAGAAAGGCATACTCTTCGTCTGCTAGGGAATCCCCATGAGGAGTTCTCCCATCCTCTGTCAAAAAAGGACCAAAAAAGGGTTTTCGAAATTGTTCATGTCCAAACGGAGGTGTTAAGTGAACTCTGCTTTCAGAAGCCCCACGCACAACTTGATGTAGACTCCGTCGGACTAAGTTTCCCGACTGTCTCGGTGAGCTGCAAGGACGGATAGATTGTGCACTTTTAAAGACATGTTGCAGGCAAGAGTCTGTCTCGTGTCTTGCGAGCCCAAGCACGGGCAGGAACTGCTACCAAATCCGATGAATTTTCTGAATTGTCGGTGTGACCTCCCCGCCTAAAAGAACCTCGAAGCCCACTAGTGTATACTGGTAGTAGTCAACGGTTCCTAAGTCTTGCAAAACAAAAAGTCCTGAGGCTCTGCTTCGAATTCCTCGGAGTGTTCTTGATCTCCCGGTTCGGGGAATCTTCTACTCATGGCTGTCCCTCGCCGTGCTCAGGCGCTCAGGGAAGCAGCGGCCCAGTCTCAAACTCAGCCCGGGTCTCAAAACAGCTTCTCTACTATTCACCAGCTAAACCAGGTTCCTCAGTTCAGCAGCTTCTTCTTTGTGGTGAACCTGACCGGCTCTAGCTAACATGCACAAATGAGCTATCACCGATACAAAGGCCACTGGTGGCTTCGATCACTTGCAACTAAGATCAATTGTCGATGAACGAAAGCACTCCATCACCTACGCAAGAGCCAGCAAGCTTCTATGAGCGGGCCCAACAGCACCCCGAGGAGAATGCCCAAACAGAGAGAGAAAGGATCAAGTTCCCTGCCAAAAGTGGAACTTACAGGGCAAATTTCAGCAGCCAAGATCCAACATTGGACAAAAGGCGCTAATGGCTCGAGAAGATGCCACGCTAAGTTGGCCAAGGTTCCACCAACTGAAACTAAAGCTAGCTGCCTGGACATACGGGCGGTTCGAGCCCGAGATTCTTCACCGCGGAAGTAAAGCATGAGAGTCATATATATATATATATAAATACTATGTATAATTAAATATGTATATAAATATATATAACAATACACATTCTTTAAACAATTGAGCCGTTTTGAAGAGGCGCTTGACACATTTTTACTGAATCGCAGCTTGGGCGGCCTTCTCGGCCCTCTCTTCCGCTTGAGCGACTCGGGCCAGCGCCTTATCACCTGGCACGTCGGGAATCGATTTCAAACGTCCTCTCCGACACCGGAAGGAGTGACCTCTTCGGAGCACGGCCACGCGGGGAGTCTTCTTCGCATGCTCAAGAGAAGGATTCTGATGATCCACGGTTCTTCGATTCAACCATCAACTTTTCACAAGACAAGCACTCAGGTGGTGGGTCAGAGCTGTACAAAGGAAGGGATCTCCCGAAGTTCTTGTGATGCAAACATTTTCTTCCATAATTAATTCCAAAATATTGGTGTCTCCATTGCGTGAATTCAACTGTTCAATTCTCTTGTCAAGCATAGCATTTTTTCATGTTCGGGTGTGTGTTTATGTTTCAAGTCACAGTCGGCAACATCTAAACAACCTGGAACGATGTCTGTGCTGGGTCTGGTTCTTTTCTGGTCCGTACCATGATCGGCCTAAAGCATCGCAACATGAGCATCTTGGAAAATCATCTGTGCATCCAATTGCAGATCTGCTCCCAACACGCCTCCTCCATAGCGCCGACTCTGCTGCCATCTACTGTCCCGTCAGTCCTAGTGAAACCTTGTCCCCTCTTACTGCCCCCCCCGAAGGAAAAAACACATAGAAAACACATGAAAACAGGAATTCCCCCATCTCCGCAGAACTTCAACCCCCTGAAAAGCAACTCCGAGGATTTTTCCGCTGGCACCTCTCTTGGCCATGGCAAGGAGGAACTCATCGGATGAGGAGCCTTAGCGTTAGGTCGTGGATTTTTTTTGGGCTGAAAAAGGGGGGCCGACGGCAGGAGTCGAGAGATGTTCGGTGGCGACTTGAGGCACGAGGCACAGCAAACAATCACAGAAGAGGGTGGTTCAGAAGTTCAGAAGTTCAAGATGTGCCCGGGAGCTTCAGTGGTCCAGAATTGATTGACCAAGTGGGTAGTCTTTGAAATTTGGATGACATAGGACATAAGCGCTGGATGGCGCAGAAGGGGCGCTGTCCCAATATCCATGGTGAACGTCAACTACTCAGTCCGTGTAAGGGAAACAGCATTCCATACCAGTATTCTGACTTGCTTGGACTGAGTAGTATTCCATACCAGTATTCCATACCAGTCACTACTCATTCCACCTGATTTTTGACTTGCTTGGATTTGCTTCAGGAGCCTGGACGTCCGTATTCCCTATTCTAGGGATTCGCCAGGGAAAATCAACATCACCCTGAGTCAGGTGAAAGTGAACCGCAGCAAGATCGGTGGCAAGTTGCTGGAAGAAGACGAGGATTTCGAGGAGGCTTTCCTTGGAAGCTTCAATGCAATCTTCCGAATGCAGCAAGGGCATGCAGTATCCATTGCACCTAGAGACACTTCTGGATGTCAGACTTCACAGTCACAGGGTACCGGAATCCTGAAAATGCCATTGCAAGCCGCCACACATATCCCAAAAGCACCCATCAAGACGGTCGGGCTTGTTGTTTGTTGGAACAAAGTCAGAGCTACACTACACTTTCCTGGGAACAACATAACCTTTTCCACCTCTCTACTCAAAGTCGGAAACCACTCCTCAAAATTGCATTGCATGTCAATCATTGCCTGGAATGCAGACAAGAAACTTCTCTTTGGCCTTCTTTCGTGCAGCTTTCAAGACCTTATCTCTGGCCTGGCAAAAGTGGCGCCCAAGGCCAACACCCTGTCATCTTGCAAGAGAGTGTTCTTCCGGTGCTTTCGTTGGACATAGGGGATGATATGAAGCCTCCGGTGCCAAACACCATGAAACCTTCAGGACAAGGCTCAACAAATCGCGCTGCACAGCAGGTTTGCTCTTCTTTGCAGACTCAAAAAAAGCAGGACAATGGCGATGTCACCAAGCCAAACTTCCCAACTGCTCCCGGGTCCCAGTTTCACATCAAAGTGTTCTTCAAGATGAATCCAATGTCAAGAAGGGGGCACTCTCCTGTACACGTCACCTATCAACCAAGAACAGTTGTATGGAGCTTGGATGCGGTCAATAGCTGGATGTGAGAGTTGGATGGAGGTCTTTTTCCTGCACAAGCGAGTTCACCATGAACACCCTCAAGTGTGAAGAACCTCTCAACCAAACGACGTTCCTACCTGTAACGATTCGAGCTCAGGAAGGAGCAACTGAGGGTCGCCGGTGGGTATCATGTGGTATCCAGTTCTTCCCCATGAAACAGGGAGCCGTTCGCAGCTGCAGGTAGCTTTGCCAGCTACCATGAATTCACTCCTTGTCCATCAAATGCAACAACACTGCCAGGGGTGCTTGAGAAAGCCGGCAAACTCCGGGTTTGTTGACACAAAGCTCAGCGATAGATGAGATGAACCTGATTGATATCATATTGGTGTCTAGAACCCAGCTAGGCCATGCCAGGACGGAAGAATTCAAGGGACATCCTCTCATCTGCGACATGCTCTCATCTGCAAGAACCGCCTTCTTTCTCTTTTCTTGTACTTCCTTGGTGGTCACTTCCTGAAGTGGCACAGATCTGATGAAGCTCAAATCATCAAATCCTCAAGTGAACATCTTGACAAATCGTGCTAAGACATGCCCCGACCAGGGGAGGTTTACCAGTAGGCCCTCGAGTTCTATTGTGGAAGCTCTCTTTTCTATTCTTCTCTTGGCTATGGCATAGCCATGCATAGCCCGTGGAATCTTTATTTCCTACCTTTCATGACCACATGATACCACATGTCTTTGGCAAGAAATCACGACTGACCAATAGGTTTGCAGCCCTTTCGCCGCGCTATGGGCCACCGCAACCGCATTGCCCCATCGTTCGACGTCTCAAAATCCGTTGGATGAGACTCTAGCGATTTGGGCAAAAGGAATGTCCCTATCTTGTTTGCTTGTTTCTTTCCATTTCTTTCCGGCAGTCAGAAGATTCTTCATAATTCTTCTGGCCCAGGGTTTTCAGGGGCAGTGAAAACGTGTGAACACACATGAAAACAAACACTTATGTCACTGAATCTCCTATTACATGGGTCAGCTTGCAAGTACTTTTGAACCCTCATTGATGCTTAAACCTCAGCCCTTCCCTCGCCCGGTGTCCTTCGGCTGAGGCAAGGGTTCAGCACCGAAAGAAGCAAAGACCTGTCAGGTCTTCGCCCGACCACGTGGAAGGCGGTTCCGTCTTACCACATGCCTGTGAGCACAGGGTTGGGGCACATGGTCTATTTGCCTTCTTCCAGTTGGGTCCAACTGGAGGTCTCCTATATTATTACACTATTTCCTTTCTCAAAATAGGAACTTGGTCAAGTGTGGCTAACGACCTTTTCAGCCACCAAAAGGAATGGCCTGAATAAAATCTGTCCTTCTCGGCCGTGTCTAGCCTGGTTTTTCAGCGGCGTGTCACTCAGGGACATGTAGGGGGGACTTCATGGGACCACCACAATCTGAATCTGGTTGGTCGCCGTCATGAAGCTACGGATGATTTCTACGGCCCGCTCTGCATCTTTGGGACACTCCATTATTTTTGTCCGACACAGATGATTTCTGAAATTGGAGTGTTTGGAGTGTCGGAACCGCTAGGGAGTTCCAGGAACTCTGGACATTGAACTTTGGACATCCCATTTGGGCCCAACAAATTAACAAAATAGTCTGTTTTCTTCTCAGCTACACGATCCGACAAGCGGTAAATTTAGAGGCATCAAAGCGTTTCGGAAACATCACTGATCCTTGGGAACAATGAAATTGATCCTGGAGTCCGGAAGGGTGCTCCCACCCACAAAAAGGCAAGTTTTCTTGCTTCACGCATGAATGTTTTATGCCCTTTCTGCAACACCTTTCACCCCTACAAGCGAAAAGCTAGTGTGTTTCTTCCCAGATTCATCATGGTTATGCATCACATGCTAAGGAAATACCGTTACATAGGTAATTCCTTTGAGATCTGACCTTTTTGTGTCTTATCTCTTGACCAAAGGGCCAACAGGTCACATTTGCAGAGCAAACCGGTTCACGACACGCCTGCAGGTTCACGACACGCCTGCCCTCGCCGACGCATGAAACCCGCCTCAGACAGGCAGCCGAGCAATGCTCCCACTGCCGCTGCCGCCGCAGCAGCGCCTTGTGCGGCTGGAGACTCCTGGCCATGGAAGGGTATGTTCCGGGTCGTACCGGTCCAGGGGTTAGGGGAGTGAATGGGAGTGAGAATTCTACATGTATTGAATGGGTCGATAGTTCAAAGTCCTAATGCCAGGAAGTGAGGATCTACTTCGAGCAGCTCAGAGCCTCTGTGAAAGCTGAAGCAGGCAATTGATCAAAAGGAAGAGTTGATGAAGAAATCCTGGACCGCGACAAACAACGGAAGGATGAACCCCCCACCAGTATCAATAGCAAAGTGGATTCATGTATTCCCCCTCCCAGTGGGCAAAACCAAACAAAACACAACTTTGGGGGCTGAAAATGAACAAACCTTTTGGCGTGCTGCTTTTGGGCTGGAGGAGGTTGGATATGCGAACATCACCATGATGCTTCTGAGGCTCCAGCCATCTCCAGCCTTTGATGACTGCATTAAATGTTCAAGTGTTTGAAGCGGAGGGAATGGAAGTGGCTTCTTGCAAACCGCAGGAAATCGGCTCCTGTGTGACAGGAAGGCTCATAGCTTCTGGCCATCAATTCAGTTTCAACTAAAAGTAAAGAACTTGTGGGGCCGGCGTGCTTGTGGGCTATGTGGCGGTGTGCGTTACTTTGGGAACATAACTTTCTGTACATTCTGGGGAACCTATACCTTTGACGTAATGCGCTTCTGGGCGATTTTCCGCCAAGAACTGTGTCACAACCAACCGGAAATACCACCTGGGTAGCCAACCCACAACTGGATCATCCTACAAGTAGGTCGGCACACCAGGGTGTCCAAACAAGGCCTCCTTTCTTGTGGTCCTCAAGTAGATAGACATGGCTTCCAACACATTGTTTAAACGAGGGTGCTGGGTATCTGCTTTTCCATCTACAACCACTCTGGAGTGGCTGGAAACGAACACCCCCAAACCATAATCACTTTGTTATTGGCTTTGTGGACTTCCCCACGTTCTATGACTTCAGAATGACAAGAGCTAGTTGCGTATTTTAATTGAGGCTCCTGGTGCAAGGTAGATTAGTCATGATTAGCCTATTCCAGGGGATCGAGCCGGTGACGGTCTCCATGGAAGCCCTTTCTTCCGACTTCCTCCGCAAGCCCGGAGACGCGCATCGCTCCTGGTCGGCTCCCTTCGCTTCGGTCGATGGCGGGAGCCGCACAAAGAAGCGCAGGAAGGTGCCTGGCGACAGAACTTTCAAGAAATCTGCGCTTCAAGATTGACAAAATGATGCGCCGCCACAAAATCTGCACTTAAAGGCTCACAGGTGCTGCGCCTGCCGCAAAAGCCTGCACTTCAAGGTCCACAAAGTACTGCGCCTGCCGTGCTTCAAGGTCACAAAGTGCTGTGCCTGCCAGGAAATCTGCACATGAAGCTTCACATCGGGCAGCCTTGCCAGGGTGTTTCGCAGCAAGGCAGCAAGCCTCGAGACTTCTCCCGAAAACGAGCCACACGTCCAAGGGTCACGACTCACCGCACCTGAGCGCGCCGAAGACCACCACCATGTCCAAAGGTCACGAGGCCTGCCTTCTTCATCTGCACATGTAAAGCCGCTCCGATCTCCTGCGCCTGGGAAAGTCCACGTTGGACTTCCATTGTGCTTGCCACGAAGAGTGACCACCAAGTCCGAAAACGTGCACGGCACCACAAGAGAGCGCAAAGGAACCTCACCCGGTCACCCGCTCGGGTTCAAATCCCTCTGGGAGCAAACGCAAGAAAACTTCCTTGCTGGATTCCACCAAAGTGGCATCTTCCAAACTCCAACCTGCATGGTACTATGGTACGGCAAAGATAGCTCTGTGCACAATGTTCTGGGCGCACACTCTTCATAGCTGTCTTCTTGCGAGAACTTACCGTTGCCCTGCCGCTTGCAGCTCACTTTGCGGCGACCCCGATGCACACGTCACTGTCGCTCTTGATCCCCTTGCGCTCCTGCAAGTCTTCTGGTCCACGAGGTGGACCTGGCTTGTGCAACTCCAACGAGCGAACCAGGTAGAAGTCGGTCACCGTGTCATGCTGGGTGGAAGAATCGTGCATGACACTCTCTAAGTCCGTCTCCGTGCTGAGATGTTCATGTTCACCACTGGTGACGAAGTGGAATTGGCTCTTAAACACTTGCACATGGTCGTGCTGTAAGTGTCCCACCAACAACAGCTTCAACACATCCAGCCGATGGGCTCACCGAAATCAGTCAACTCCTTGCATATGACGTGGAACCAAAAAAGTCGGCCTTCTCCTTGGTGGATGACTTTGGTGATGGGACACCGTGAAGGACTGAAGTCATGCCCCGCGTTTCTTCGGCTCGGTGTGACCAAGTCTGTGCCGGCACTTGAGTGAAGCAAATGGGCTACGCCGCGTACCACCAACCCATATGTTTTAATGTACTGTAAATAGCAGCCAATTAATTAGCCAGACACGCCGATGGAGCACCTTGATCAAACACCTGGCCTTAACACCTACCGTAAGAACCCCTAGTGTGGCCACATTGTTTGGAGAAAAAGAGACCAGTCACAGCCCAAGGGTCATCCCAAGTATGGGCAGCGCGCAACGTTGATGCCGTAACGCGAGTTCCTCGGCGATGGAAACCTTAGCATCATCCACCGATTCGACCGACCCCCGTCCCCAAGTGAACTCCTCCTGCTCCACGCAGTTTTTGGTTTCCAACAAGAACCTCTGACTACACGTCGTCGATGCGCAGCACGGTCACCAGCAGGAAACAAAGTGGCAAGCACTTGTGCAGTTATGTGCAGTTTCCGTCACCCACCAGCTGGGAGACACTCCTCTTCAGAGCTTCTGGCCTCAATGCTACTCCACACGCGGCCAGCCCTACCGCGCCCTCCGGTAGATGAACAAACCTGACCGGGAGCACCTCACGGCACCTCCACTTCATGACAAGCAACTGAATCTGATTGCTTCCGATCCGCATCGCTCATCACCCGCACCGTCCCGTTTGGTGCTGCACTGTGGCCCTGCGAGCGGGCGCAACAGCTGCGTCCCACACCGCTTAACGTTGGAGCTGTTGCGCAACCCGTGCTCTGAAGCCATGTCTCAGAGGTATGCACATCTGGAAGTGCATCTGCTTCCTCAAGTGCATCTGCTTCCTCACTTACGCGCCACCCCAACATTCACAAAGAGCAACTCCGTTCCTCAGCCAAGGCAAGCAACTCCGTGCTTCTCTGAGCAAGTTCCACAGCGCACGGCGGGAAGTGGGAAGTTCTGCTGGTCCGAACGAAGCCCATCGGAAAGGGGCGGAACGGCATAGCTGCCGTCAACAAGCACTTGGCTGTGGATCCGTCTCCGTAACCGCGCACACCTTCGTCTTGGAGTGCTTCGTCCTTTAAACATGCACGAAAAAACCGTTCTCTTTGCACTTTGGATCGGTGGCCAACTTACTTATGGCAGAAAATGATGTTCGACCATTCAGGGATGATCTACTGAAATATATTGGTTTGCTGTGTCGTTCTGCTCCCCAAATCCCTGTTTTTTTTGAGGAATTCGATGGAAGAAGGAAGTAGTCTACATCAAGTCAAAACTGCCACGCTTTTTGAGTCAATCCTTCAACTCAACAAGGTGCTCTCCCGCTCACAGGCCCAGCAACCACCAACCCCCCCGGAGCCATGATGGCTTATCCGCGCCGTCCAGGGAAGCGCCCACACCCAAGGCCGTGGCGCCCGTAGGCAAGCGGGAAGCCAACCTCTGGAGGTGTGGTGCGCCCTCCTCCCGGTCTACGACCACACATGACCATACAGTCTGGCCGTGGTCGTGGGGGAGGAGGGCATCCGCGAGAAGAGTCTGGGAAGATGAGGTGTGACCAGCCAGCCTTGAAGATCTTTCCTTAAGTAGATCTACAAATGGAGTCATCATGGTTTTGGAGTTCACCACCTGTGCTCTTTGGATTTGATGTGATTTCCTAGTCCAAGGGACCATCCAGACCACGTCACCACCATGCGGATGAGTGTCGGACGCGTGGTAGGCCCCGAAAAAGCTAGGTCACGACTTGGGAGGAATGCGTGGCCCATGGTCATTGGACATCCGGCCACAGCTTCCATCAACAGAGTGGTGAGAACGTGTGAGAACTTGTCTCCTCCTCCAAGACTCTTCTTCACTCAGTGGTCATCCAAATCCTCAGGCTTACATCCTGGGCCCAAGGTCTCCAAAAACAAGATGAACATGGGCCGACCTCGGGTCCCAGGTCCGCCTTTCTCCATGACTCGTCCGGAGGACTCGAGCGACTTTCGGAGTGACCCGAGGAGGTCCCGAGGCTTGGGCAAAGGAAGCACCATCCGTTCCAAAGCGGTGATCCTCAGCTGGACATTTCAGGACACTCACATGGCGTGCTCAAGCAAATTCATATGTATATATATATATACATATTGGTGAGTTCAACCACACCATTCTGCCAGATCACATCTTGGGTGGAAACAGAAGACAACATCAATGCATTTGGATGAGAACATCTATCACACTTCCGGGGGGGGGTGGCAGTTCGACCCTGCATGCTACAAGGAGCTTGTTTGAACAGGAACTTTTCAGGAACATGCCCTCAAGAACATTTGCCCATCATCTCATGACCATTCTTTGACCAGGTTGACCAGCCCATCATGAACAGAACATCGGTTTTAAGTGGTCCGGTTGTGAGATCTGTATGTCATGACCCACAGCCAAATATCAACCCTAGAGCCTTCCAGTTACCTCTACAGCAGGTAGCCTCCCAGGGACCTGTGTTCCTGCGTTTCGGAAACAGCTTCTTCTCGGTTGACACTCCGAGGCGCTGCTCGCGCTTGATCTTTTCGGCGGCTCCACAGCGCTGTAAGGCCAAGCGTGGAGTGCCTAATCCGAGCTTCGCGTCGACGATCACCGATCGCGTGGCTGACCCCGGCATGGAGTTGGGCAAACACCATGGTGGATGGCCGCCCCATGGCCTCTGTGACAAGGCAAAGACCAAGACGAAGCTCTTTGTTTAAACATGCTTAAACTCTTCTGTCTAGCTGTCACCTTGTTTGTTGGAGCTATGATCATGTCTGTTGGACGGAGACATTCATGTGATACGCCTCGGCTTTGGTATCTGCAAGAAAATTTCGTTAATGGAGGACGAATGAACGCAACAAAATATGCTACCCCCTTGTCAGGACGGAGGACTTTGGGTGAGAAACCGCGAACAACACGTCTGGCCTTGCGATGGATACAGACAAGCCTTTGGCGCCTGTGTCACACCTCTGCATGCTGCATGCACAGTGAAGACCGCACGACCGGACGCCCGACCATCATGGTCGGCAATTGGAGGCACTTCTGCCTCATGGATTCACCTGTTTTCAAATGTTGCGGAGGGCAACCATACGGCCGCGCCAGCCCTGTATTGTCCAGGTCTCGAATTCAGGCCGTCAACGTGGGAAATGATGCCAGAGACTGCACTCCAAGCCGTACTCCGAAGAGTGTCCGAGAAAAATAGACAAGGTTCCTCTGCTGTAAAGGCTCAGAAGGAACATCCGCTGAATTTCTTCTTTTGGAATCCAAAGCAGCTAAAGTCTGGCGCTCGCACAAATGAGTAGGTCTTCCACCGATGTCACGAAGCGGGCCTTTCAAGCTAGATAGCTTTCTGGTTTGGGCCACCGCCGCACGATCTGCGACAAATTTCGTTCACGACTGAGGAGCTCGACTGAACACCCTTCGAGAGGACCAAGCGTAGCTTTTCGGTGCCGATTTCTTTCGGTGCCGGTCTTTCGGTCGCTGCTTGTCGCTCCAAACAGCGACCGGAGCGGTCCTGGAAAGGCTTGCTCCACCAGGATCAAGAGGTGGAAAAGCTCAGCAGTGTCATGGCAGAGCAAGAAACAAAGAATGGTCAAGGATCACCAGAAGCTTCAGGCTGCGGCTGCAAGCAAGACTACCTCCAGCTTATCCAGGCCAAGAGTGGTCACAAGCAAGCGACGTTAGCTCCGTTCAGGCTGGGTGGCGTATGCTGCCAGCCGCACCAGCCGCACCATAGTATTCCTCACCCCAGAGAAGCGGTGGTTGGTAAAAAGGGCCAAGACGAAGAAGTGAAAGGAGACGCATACCATGCCGCATACCATCTTCCCATTGCAGCAGTCCTTCTGAGATAGTTGACTATTCAGCCATCAGCACTCCAACAGCACAGCATCAGAACGACATCAGCACAAGCAGCCTGTCTTGTCCGTCCCACTGGAACGCTAAACATCAGCCCGTCTCTTTGCAGTTGGACAAATCGGTTCTCCCTAGGTCTGACTGAAACAACTGAACTTTGAGTGGCGTTTGGGCCTTTAGTGATACGACTCTGTCCAATCTGGATTTGTAAAGAAATGTGGACTGCAATACTCACTCTCACATCTGCAGCACATCCATCTTTCCCTCACTAAGTCACCAAGTCGCTTCTGGATACCATGGTTTGTCCAAACAGCTTCCGCAATACCAATATGGTGGGTGAGCTCTATGTATCGGACCAGCGTCTGTCTGAGGCCCGAACCACTGAGGTTCAGCGGATCCTTCTGTGCGGCAATCATCGCCGCCTTCTCCCCTGCACAAACGCTTTCTGCGGTATGGCCCATCCCCGAATCCTGCTTGGTGGGCCGTGTCCACTGCATGCGGACGGGAAGGGGAGCAAGCTCTTGAGGTGGGTAAGAGCTGGAGGTGGAAAACCCACTGTGTGTACGAGTTCAGAGGAGAAACCCTACAGTGTAAATGTACATATGTGGTATAAAAACCTGCAATTCCATGCAATGAACCGGCATTTTTCATGAACCCGTCAAATTACGGCGTCGAGGCGGGTTGCCAAATAGGACGAGGAATTGGACCCCAAGGGTTAGGTCTCAAACTGCTTGTGCCAGAATTTCAAGCAACTCTGCGGACAAAAACGGGTGTCTATTTTTTGAAACAGATCCTGTCTTTTTGGTGGCTCGCCAGCAACTTGGAGATACACACACTGAGTTTTCAAACCAGTGTGGTGCAGTGGTGCATGTGTTTCTTATGGTGGCGACAAGACATGTTGCGCTGATTGCTTAATATGTTTTGAACATTGTTTTAATGTATCGTAATGTATCATAATGTATCATCATATGCATCATATATCTACTCCAGGCTGAGTGTGATGCCACATCTGCCGGATGGTTTCAATTCGCTTCCACCGAACGTGCCGCTCCACCGACAACAGCTCCCCGGGACACTCGCCTTTGGCGCCATAGAGCACCTTGCGCACGATGCCCACGTCCTGGACGCCCAGCCATAGGGCACCGAAGATGTGCGTTTGCAGCAGCCCATGGTGTTTGATGCCGAAAGTGCGTTGCCGTCGTTCCAAAAGAAACAGCAGTTTCTTTGAAAACATCCATTGGGAAGCAAGGTGTGAAACAATCAAACCTGGTATCAACATGTATCAACAAGTTGAACACTTCTCATCTGTTGGCAATCCAACGTCTCTGCTGGGGCTCTACCCAGCTGTCACCCAGTTGTGTTCACTTCTTCAGGTCCCCCAACAAAAACGGGCGACCTAAACGAAACGCTCGAAACTCGCCTGCAAGCCCGGACGGCTGCCTTCCAGCAGTAGGAGGTCACCTTTCGCCTCACCGAGCGATCCGATGGATTCCGATGGCTCTGGGCGCCGCGCGAAGGAGACGACCCCAGGACTCAGCTGACTTTGGCACCACCCAAGGTTTCAGGACATTCCAGAAAACTCCGGGTCATCCAAACGACTTTCTTTTTCTCACTTTTTTCTCTGTCGGACCCCTTCTTTTGAAGAGTCGACTGGACGTCCTGCGCAGGGCGACCCGACCAGTTCGCCATGGCTGCGAGGCCTTCTGGCTGGACGCGGTGCAAAGGCCGTCTGTATGGTGTTTTGGCAAAAACGTCCCACGCGATCTCAAATTCTCAAAAGCTTCTGTCTCAGCTCCTCGCTTTCCAAAAAAGCAGCTCAGCTCCAAGAAAGCACACAGGATGTCGGCAAGTTCCGCAAATCTGGGTCTTCGATCGCACCCTCTGATCCAGCTTACGCAGGGCCGAGCTGATGGATTTTGGGCCGGAAAACATCCGACGGCATCCGGATCGTTCGCGCCTCCGCCTGGACGAGGCGACGGCGATCGGTGCGTGGTGGCGACCGGCCCCAGCTGGACGTCGACCCGGCGAGTCCGGTCTTCGATGTGCGCGGTGGCGCACCGGCGTGCGCAGCGGTGCATGGCTCCGTCTTGACTGATCTGCCACTTTGATCCCTCTTGACCATAGCAAGCTCATGTCGCGAGACCTGCCACACACCCTTGACAGCGGTCCTTCAAGAAAATTTTTGTGGCGGGTTGGGGCACGTTCAGCACAGCACGGCAGGTTGGGACCCTTCGTTTTCAGCCACTCAAAACAAAAAAGCAAGCTGAAAGCAATTGATTTTACTCACAGAGTTGTTCTACCACACACCCACATAGAGGAAAAGTCCATTTCCCCGCACCCAAATAAAAGTGTTCCATGGTTTTCCAATTCAAACGTATTGTTTGCGTCCTTACCAAAACGTCCCAGCGCGTTTTCGTCGAACAGGTAGTCTACATGTCGTCCTGCTAGCCTTTTCTGGTGAGCGGGCTTGCTCATTTGATGCGTTGACGGGAGTCCAGGGGATGAGACAAACAGACAATAGAATAACCGACTGGACTTGGATATGCGATTCATCTTAGATTCTAAACATGCCCATCATGAAGGAAAACAACAAATTTCGGACCATTGAAGCATATCCTCACCCTTCACGGCGCTGACCTTCCAGATCCGCTTTGCAAGACGCTACTATAGTAACAAGTGCATCATCGCTACAAGTAGCAAGAAACTACGTAGTAACAAGGGCACTACTACTAGTAGCAAGAAACTACGTATCGTCTTTCTCCGTGGCATTCCGATCCTCCAGACGAGGACGGTCTGGGAGGCCCGGGCGTAGCTCTTTTCGGACTTCCGGTAGTCGTGCCGGTAGGGCATGATGTGACCCACCTCGGTCAAGCACGAGGCGAAAGAAAGGCACCCAAATGAGGGGACGCGGCCCCCCAAAAGAAACGCGTTTAACCTGTTGCTTTTTTTGTGGCAAAATGAGGAAAATCACAGGGGACGACTGGGAAGGAGAAGGGACACATTCTTTCACACTCTCTCCCACAACTCGACGAACACACGAAAAACCCCTAAGAATAACTCCTCCAGAAGTCCAGCTCGATTGGCACGATTGGCGTAGTAAAGGAACTTCCTTTCGGGGTCACCTAAAGCCCCTTTTAACGGCAGGGTATCCCTTGGACTCGCCGGGAACAAGTTGGGACCTTCGGAAAGACACTGTGGATCTTAGGTGAAACCGCGTGCTGAAGCAACAGGCCAAACCTGACTGGTGCTCGGGAAGGAATGAGGGAATGGATCCCAAGGTATCTTTTGTATTCTTTAGTGATGGGCCATGCCCCCATTGCTTATTAACACTTGAGGGATACCGCTACCGCAAGCTGCCACCATCCGTGCATCAGGCCTGACAACAAGAGAAGGGTCTGAAAACACAGCTCAGCTATTCCAGCTATTCCACAGCAAGCTCCACTACATGCGAACAACAGGGTACACATGTCCCGCATTCATCTTTCTCGACGACAACTATGCGATGCCCCTCAGGTCAGGGTCCTTTCAAAACCAAAAGGGCCACTTGTACCCCCCCAGCACCGCTTCCACCACCACCAAAGCCAGAGCCTGCAGAGTGGAAAACTGATTCACCGATCTCCACTCTCACGACAACGAATGAAGGTGATTTCTTCCGACAGAATGCGAGAACATCGCCTCATAGTGGCCTCGGAATGCTTCTCTTTCTTCAACCAAATCGAAGCCATGGTGGTTGTCAATTCGTCTCCTTCTGCAACCTCCAGATACTCCCGCTTGCGCCCAACTCCAGTCACAAAAAGCTTGACGCGCGCGATGAAATGCCCCGGTGAAGGGTTCTGCTGCTCGGGCTTTGTTCCGGCGACTTCTGAGGTGAATGACCTCCACTCTGTATTTCCACAAGTGAAGCCTGGTCTAGTGCCGCTTGGACATGCGGAACCCAAAGTTCAAGCAGAACATCCATGAAATAACACATCCCCTTGCACAGCAGTACTTTTGCAATTAACTGTCGCTTTTCGAATCAAGGTGAGGACTCGACTTGCCACCGCAAATGATGGCACAAGAGAGCACAGATCTGATGAGCACAATATAGTCTGCCTGTCCACCCATCAGGCCATGCCTACATTGCCCATTTCATACATGCACGTGGATGCTTCACGTAGACAACCAACCAAGAGAACACCTCCATTCACCAACCAACCATGAGACCTCCATTCACATGGCTCTGAACCAACTCTAAGTTGACACCTGCATGTATTTGTGGTAAGAGACTCAAACAAGATGCATTGAGTCGCTACCCTTGCACAGTGATCTCTCTTTCTTCAAAGTGAGTACTTCATAAACCAAACCGTTTGCTCGGACCACCCCTTGCACGCTTCTCCTTGCAGTCTCTTCCTCCGCCCACCCGGTGACACCGGACGACTGTTCTCGTCCCAGCGGCCGTCTCTGGGGTGGTCGAGAGCTCCACGAGGTACACCACGCCTGGGCGGGGCCCACGCTCCACTCCACTCCACTCCGTCCGGACCAGCGTCCCGACCAGCGTCCCGACACCACGCGGTGCGGCGGTGGGGCTCCTCGGTGGATGTGTGGCGCATGTTTGGAGGGAGGGAGGAACTGCCAGGTCCAGACAGGGAGAATTGGAGCACACACTCTTTCTGTTCTGTGGGAATGGGATGAGGGTTGGGCGGTTGATGCGTTCTTTTTTTTTTCGGATTGGAACGCTCTTTTGTATGGGGCTGGGAAAAGCGGAACGTTTTCTTGACCCAGATGGGTCTCAAATGCTATCACTTCTTAACTGGCAGTAGCCAATAGAGTCGAGTAGCATCTCTTACACATCGATCAGCGGCTTTGTTGAATGGTTTTCACAGCAGGCCTGACCCAGGACCGGTCTACAGCCAACACTGCCATTGAAGGCATGTTTGTTGTGCCTATTATGGGGTTTACCAGCTGGCTTGCTGCCACGGGATCTATGCGAAGCAGAAATGGCGAGAGTGGAGTGCCTGGGTTTGAGACGTTGCAGAATCTGTGCTCCATCTTAAGTGGTTAGGATTTTAGGGGTCCGTGGCATTGGGGTGATTGAACGCTTTTGTTTGTACGCTTGTACGGTTTCAGAAGGCTTCTGAAATAGATGCATTAGTACAAAGACAGTAAAGGTTCAACAGCAACTCCGATTCCGCGTCGTGGTTCTTTGCGCTTCATAGCTCTTCCTTGCCGGATATATCGCAATGCGATCACCAAATGCATCTGTGGAAAGGCCTGCTGAGATCTATTTCCTCGATCCTACTACTCACCAATCCACATCCACGCACCTCTGTACCCCTTGCCATCCATTCATGGCGGGCATACCGGGTAAAACACAACCCGTGAGAATAACAAAGGGATCAATTGGTGAAAACACCTGAAGGGGTACATCGAATCTATTGGCAGGAGCACCTATACTGATTTGACCTTCGGACTTGAAGGTGCGTACCACACTGCCTGGCAATTGAGATCTTCTTGGATGGCAATCACGTGTTGTCTTGTTTGCTGTTAATTAGGATATCTCTTTTAGAAAGTGGACCTCCGAATCTGGGCCGCCGAACGAAGAAAGATGGCATGAGGGTCCCGAGCCCGGTCCAAGGATTCTTAGGGAGTAAACACCCGAGATCTGGGGTTTTGGGCAGTGGATCTGTTCATTCCCTACAAGTCCAACGGCCAAGTTTAACCTGGTCCTTGACCTCATTGAGTACTGGCTTTGCATGACCGGATCCAGTCAAATGAGGTCTTTGACCTGTAGGGATTGCTAGAAACAATTAATTAGCTGCCCAAATCCTGCAACATTTTGAGACTACTTGCCACTTCCAATTCCAGATCCCAACGCCTACCACTGCCTGCCCATCCTTACAACCCATTGGTGGGCCTCCATTTTCCGCACGTTCCGACTGGCTCAAATGTTCCAAGAGGCTCTCCAGCCGTGGCCAAGCTGGAAGCCTGCCAGCCTCGACGAAGCCTTGGTCTATCTCGAACACGTGGACGAACGACAGTCAGTCTTTCTTCCACATGGAGCATGTGATCATGCCGGACTTGGACAATTTCCAATCCTTTTCATCATCTAGGAATCTAGTATGCTTAAAGTACACCTAGGTACGACCAGTATGGGTTTTCACTTTGCTTCAATCACCATGCTTTGTAGGGGAGAGGAAACAACGCTCTGAACAGATCGGGAGGTGCTAGTTGTAGACTCTGCAAACCTCAAGTGCCTCCCGAAGATCAACGAGGCTAAAAATGGACCCCACGATACCCCACAAGGCTTCGCAAACCAAATATGTTCAGAATACATTTCAATTGGTAAGCCACGAACTTCAGATCATGCGGCTGAAACGGCTGAAACGGCTGAAACCGCTGAGTGTGTTAGAGGAACAGTGGAATAACTTGTACTGCCAACCCTTTGGAGTGACGACCGCAACCGATGTCGTTTGGCCCGTTTAGAAGGAACAACATGAACACCATGATGAGAACAAAGCGAGCAAACAGGTTCGCGGAGCGGAGTCTTAGGGCATGGATGTCCTGCATGGATGTCCGGCCCTTCATTCACCTGTGAACCAGCCAGAAATACAGTACCCGTCCCAGACGACCGAGTCGAATGCTGTGGGTGAGGGCTTACTTCCAGCACACCGGAAGCACGGCCGCCGATCGGCCGCCAGCACGGTCCCGAGTGCACTGGACCAGCCCATGATCGGAGTTCCAAAAGAACTCCCAGGCACGGCGGTTAGGCCGTGTCCAGCCAGTGGCCGCTCGAAATGATGATAACTATATGATAGCACATGCAGTATGGGGGGTTGAAGTCTTTTCCCATCTTAGACTCGAGATTAACACTTTTTCTTTCCAACAAGATGATCTCCTATGATCTCCTGCTCCTTCTTCAAATCTTTCGCGCTTCGACCCACTCCTGCACACAAAACCTTGGGATTCCAAGACTTCCGATGTCACCTCCACGAAAAATGGGCATCCTTTGAACAAAGAGAGACAATGGCAGTTGGGATGTGGTCCATACACCCCGACCATAGCACGATATGACGATGATTCAAACCGGACGCACCATGATCATGCCGCACCATGGCATGGTCGCCGTGCAACCTTGGACGCAGCACCTGGGTGTGGAGGAGCAACAGATGACGAAACAACACATTCTTAGTGTCAAACATAGAACTTCACGGGTTCACCGGTTAACCCACCTGTTCACCAAGAAAACGCATCCCGAGTGCGGTATCGTGGACCATTTTGGTCCGCTCGAGACAAAACGAGATCATTGAGATCACGAAGACTATGCACCGAATGTAGGAAACACAAACAGAAACAAACAACACCCATGCCCCCCAAAAGGATTTTTCAGGTGATGCATCCAATGGATAAAACTTGGACATGAACCCTCTGAGCGGTTTTCGACCGCTCCGAGTGGCGCGGGAAGAGTTCGGCTGGCGTGACCAAGCGGAAGGCCAACCTGCGCCGTGCGCCGTGCGGCGTGGCAAAGCGGAAGGCCTTAGGCTTGGTGAACTTGGCTAAGCCCAAGGACTACTGATAGATGATCCATGTGCTTCACTGCAAGATCCTTGAAACAAGGAGATGAAATACATCTTTTGCCACTCCAACTTGCCGCACTCTCACCCCACAGGATTGCCCCCACTCTGTTCGCTTCTTGACATCTTGAGGTCGTTCCTGCGGATCCGGATCCGTTTGTCCCGTAGACGCGGGGTCGATGCGAGACACATGGAACCTGACAACCACGTTGGGTTGTAGAGGAGAATAGTCTTCCAGGCTGGTCCATGTTATAAGGTTCCATGTTGATTTTCCAATGTTATAACATGTTCATGTCTTTTCTTCAGAGATTCAGTGCCTTCTTGCCTTGTTTCTCTACATGCACTTTTGACGAGAAGGCAGCCCGCGGAGAACCTTCCCGTTATCAAACATTATCAAACATCTGAGCAATGCCCAAAAGCAACCAAACCATGCTTGAATTAGCAGGAATCTTCCAGTCTTCCCATCTCTCGAGCTGGCACACCTTCTTTCGTTTCAAGCAACAATTCCTTTCGATTCTTTGTTTCCTGTGCTTTCATTCCTTTTCTTTCCTTTCCGTCTCTTTTCTTCCTTCGTTCTTACTCCTCTCTTCTCTTCCCTCGATTTCCCTCGTCTCTTTCGCACCAAAACGGTCCAAACCCGTCCATCGCCCCATGGGTGTCCCGCCTCCGGCCCTGCGGCAGCAGCTCCGAGACCACCCAGACCGCACCGCTCGGGGGTCCTTGGGTGGGGAGGTTGGTCAAACACGGGAGGCTGCACACGTGGGAGGTTGGCGAGAGGTTTTCACTGCATGAGGTTGGCTGCCATGCCACGCAAACCTGCTGGCTGGCTGGTGGGAATGGATGCCAATGGTGACTGAAACCGCAGGGAGAGTGTCAAAAATCATCAGGCACTCTGCAGACTCCCCTCTTCCACAGCTATTCATTCATAGATGTTGGGTCTATCCATGTCTATCCGACTATCCTATTACCAGTAACAGTGGATCTTTTTCTGCTTTCCTCCTTACTGGGACTCGTATTGAGCCCTAGTATGATGGAGAGGTAGGTCCGGCCTTTCCCCAAAGAGGTGATAGTCTGGTATTTGCGTTTGTTGCTGGCGGAGTGGTACTCCTAGCTGTATTTTCCCTTCACCGGAGCTTCTTGACTTGTAGAACTCACGTGGTCCTTCAAGGGGTATCCAAGGGCAGCCCTGGATACTGTGGGCAGCCCTAGATAAAGCTCAAACAAGAGACATCAATTGGAGCACTTCCTCTTGTGTTGGCCGGAAGTATGATGCCGAAAAAACAGTGTTGAGGCAAACATCTAACTACAGAACATCCCCGAATCTCTCTGAAGCACTCTCACTTTCCGGATCCCACACCAGTCCAAGCCCCATTTCTATTTCATCCTCATCCCGGCCCAGTGGCGAGAGCTTCCTTCAGTCCATTCAGCCGGCGCGCTCACCTGGTTGTGGCGATTCCCGAAAGGAACCATTGAAAGAGTCCGGGGGACCGGGTGGTCTAACGAACCTGGGGTAATTATACCAGCATAGACTCCACGTCCAGCGTCAGCATTTTTGGGGCGTCGGCGTCCACCCTAAGAGAGAACCTCAACAGTGAACTGTTTGGGGAAAAAGTGTTCTTCTTTTTAAAGGCTATTGAATCAAGGGTCAGGCCAGAGAAAGCCTACAGTAGGGATTGGTCTCTTCCGGCCCAAAGATGTCATTTTAGCATGCATACGCATGCATAGGCATTAGGCCTCACACGGTTTTTGGCCCTTGGGAATCACAGGTCATGTTTGGATCTTGCTCAACTGGGATCGTCTTTGGGAGGTGCTTTGGGCAGCTGTTGTGGTGGTTAAAGCAACCTAAAAACAACCGGTTCGGCTCCGATTCCTTCCAGCGAACGAAATCCGTGGTCCGATTCTCGAGCCGGAGAGACCTGCAAAGAAAAGGGTTCACCGAACTTCCCGTCTGTCATCTGTTATCATCTTCTCATATTTTGTGGGGAAAAATGGCGTCTCCCCCTTGACAGGTCGTTTTGCAGCCCGGAAAAATCTTGTGCACCATGTTCGAGCCTTGCGTGACAAAGCTGTGGCATACACATCCAGGTGGCGAACCTATGCCACTTCGCTACAATGTGTGGTGCTCTCAGAGAAATGGCAAGTGAAAAGGATTGAGAAACGGATTGCACTCCTCCACGATCCTGAAACCCCCGTCAGTGGGGGTTGCACGAGGCTTTGTCGCATGTGGAGACGACAGGGCATGCAGGTTTGCAACTATGGCACGGCTCCATGAATGGGTGATCCACATTTGCAGGTGCACGTACTTCCTGGGGATTTGGATCCCTCCTATAAAAGAAAAGGGCGACACAGTGATCACAACTCAGTGGACTTCAGGCTTTGCTTTGGGAGGAACAAAAGCCACCGCCTGAACATGGCCACTTGCTTGGAACTATAGAAGCATATAAAAGCAATTGCCATTCATTCTTCCAACTCGGGTCAGTTTCCTCCCTGACAAACCGAACCCGCCGTACTCCGGGTCGTTTCCCCCCCAAAACACCGCTCGGTTGCTGCCCCGCCGCTCGGCTGCCGAGAGAGCCCTCAACAGCGCGGAGCCAGGGGAGTGCTGCATCCTCGTCGAGGGACTCGCCGAATTCGGCGGCTCAACAGGTTAAAGACCAGACACAACAGGACTTTTCCTCGGTCCCAGCCACTGGTCATGTGTTCAGGATCCCCCCTCAAAATAACGAATTGGATCAACCAGAACTGTTTCTGGTTGGGACTGGGTTTGTATACTGCAACTACACTGCTGACAGGCTTCCATTGGACCGAACGGCCCAGGTCGCCAGGTCGCAAGTCGCTGTACCCTCCAGAGAAGTGCAAGCAGTACTGACATAGGGAACGAAATGTCGCCCTCTCCTTCGGATCCGTGATTTCTGGGGAACACATACATATTATATATATATATATATCTGGAACCTGGTTCTGACCTCTATTTTGGACCACCACCCAAAATACAGTCTTTTCCTATCAAAACAGAGGTCATGTCTGGGTTCCAGGTATATAATATATATTCGTATTCCGGGGAATCACTCCCTCTGAACCACCAGCAGAGTTGCACTTTTCTTTTCTTCTTTCCTCAAATGTCTTTTTCGATAACCATCCATGATCCTCCGTGATCCCGCTGCACCCCACCGTCCTATACCGGAGCTGTGTAGCTCTTTCACGGTGAGTCTTGATTGGTGGCACACATGTAGACCTACCAGGCCTGGGCCCAACCACGCCACTTGCAGGCGCCAGTCCGGCCTCGGGCACTTGCAGGACTCCACCAGCCAAGAGCTCGAAGCTGATGTAGCGTCGGTTCGACGGTGTGACCACCACCCGAGACCTACAGCGCGGTGCGGGCGAGGTCTTCCGCGGGTCTTTGGCGGGTCGGTGCGGCACAAAGGGTTCTTGGAGGTGGGAGGTGGAGAGGTTGGCGCTCTGATGACGATGGAAGGAGCTACCTGACCCCGGAAAAAGACATGCCAGTTTTGGAGGGCGAAGAAGCTCCCTTTCTGAAGTTCAACAAGGGGTGGATATCAAGGCTCCCTTGAAAATGGAAGAAACCCTTGAATAACCCTTCAATCCCACAAGACATCAACCCTTCTGACAAAACACGTTCTTATCAGCTCCGTCGATTGAGCGTCATTCATCTTCTCGCGTTGTTGCGAAGCGCCTATGGTACTGACCTTGCGGAACTGATAGCTCGGCTAGCTCGGGATGGCACCAGCAACCGGCTGTCTATAGGGTTGAGTGGGAGACCTCTTGGGACACATGGGCCATCCCGTTGTTGAAATTCACGCCAAACACCAAAACAACCCAACAATGGAGGTCTCTCTGTCGATTTTCAAACCTCGCAGAAAGGTGTGTTGTTGCAGAATCAATTGAAACAACTGCGAATGACACAGCAAAGCAAACGTTCCGATTTTCGACAACCAATGCTTCTCTTTGGATCCTCTCCAAGCATCCTCCAGAAACATCCATAAACCCAGCTCTACAGATCGCTCTGCTCTTCGGGTGATCTTAGACATTGCCCAGCGCCAGTCTTGAATTTAATCTCTATGGTTCCGGTCGCGTCATCGTCAACATCGAGGATCCAGGCGGAGATTCCCTTCGGTCGCTTCAAAAACCCGACTGGCCCGATTCTGTCTTAGATTGAACTCAACACTCAAAGTGATGGACGTATACCTGTCCCTCCCACGTTCTCATGGTGGATGGCGTGGCCCCGGGTCTTAGACCAAATCCAAGTACCGAACAAGTCATTGTCCACTTCCATGGGCGGTTGCAGGGAGGGTAACGCCCCAAACTCACATGATTTTCCAAGACATTTTCCGAAACAAAAAAGACACAAACCTGCCCGACACGCAGGTCTGGCCCCCGCAGCGGCTTATTTACACCTGACGGACGCAAGCTGGGTTGCCGCACACCCTGCCAGCACCGCAGCTCGTGACACAAAGGCGCCCCAGAGCGGATGGGCCAGATTCCTCGAGGAGCGAAACCACACATGGACCATGGAGATGGCCTGGTAAGGAGATACCTTGGTTCCATGGGGAAGATGGTTCCATGGTAGGGAAGATGGTCTGCTTCCACGTTCCGGAACCAGGAACCAGGAACTCTTTCTCTACCACCATCAACGCGCCTTTTGTTGATAGGGAGATCCCTGGTTCCTGCGACGAGTCACGGTAGACAAGGTAGGCACCGGTGTACCGTACCCGTCGCACCCCCACCCACGCCCCTTGGCTTCGCCGGGGCCCCCGAAGGTGCGAGTCACGGTGTATCAAGGCTTAACGTCGGATAGATCGACAGAAGGTGCGCAGAAAACGCAGAAGACAGCTCGGACGTAGCACCCAATTCTTGGGATCCCGGTGGCATTCTCAGGTAGCTAAGTGGGCATCCAGAGACTTCTCTCGAGGCATCGGCATAATGCATCTGTGTTCAGCAGCGATCTCGTTTCTTCGAAGCAACTGCAGGCGGGGATTGTCATATGTGGAGCAACCCCCTCCATCGAAAAAGGCATGTTAGCATGGTGTGTTCCTGAGAAGTTTGTGCTCCCTGATAGCGTTTAAGGATAGTTTCCGTCGACGTGCCAGTCCCCCCATGTATGCATGTGTATTCGAAGCTCAGCACTCGTAAACTAGTCGCTGCATATTGTTTTGTATATATTTACATAATAGATATAGAGGTATGCGTTTACATTTCATAAGCTTCCGAAGAAGAGGTAGCAACATGACCAGAAGCTGCTTGGCGCCAATGAAACGGATCTTCGTTCCAATGAAATGCGAGTTGCGCCGACAGAGAGAGGTCTTCCAGGAATGACTTGCAGGGTCCTTTTGGAAGAAGACAAACTGGCAAACTTGAGGCCGAGGGTTGGTGACGAAAGCTAGGGCAGGGGTGAAGCGGGGGATATCCGACCGAGAAAGGAGTCCACATCCTGCCGCCACAAGAACACACCACATATGAAAATGGCAAATGTCACATCAAGTGATGCCTGGAGAGTTCGGGGGGGACATCTCTGACCATGGATCTCGGTGGCCATGAAAGAAAGAAGGACATCCCACGCCAACCAATAACTGTTCCTGCATTGATGGACATACCATCAAAAGAGTGGTAATCTCCGATGTGGCATGGAAGTTGGCACCCACGCCCATGGTCTTGGCAGTTTCAACAGAGTGATGGGGCGAAGGTGATTACCGAGCAATGACCCGCGGCAGGCAAAAAGAGGCCGCTCCAGTGTTCCTGCAAGCTTCCTCATCTCAGGCTTCCATGGTGGAATGGAGGCAAAGTCATTGTGAACTTTGCCTGTTTTCTTTGGGCAACCGCTGGGAATCAGGCCGGAGATGATGGACTGCATTGCTGCTCGATCACACCGCAGGCCAGAAACCTGCCCTCCCCTGCTACCGGCATCTATCGGCCCATTCATCTGGATTTCGAGCGCTCCAAAACCAGCCTCCGCCCTACGACCGTTACTTCAGTCGGAGCAGCTGTTGGTTAGTACTGGTGTATTTTCTGAACCTTCCAGTGGGTCGACCAGGGAGGTTTTCCTATTTTTGATACATGCCCACACAACCCAGCAGGCTCTTCAGGAATGTGGCTTCAAATCAAGCCCAGTAGAAATGGAACTTAACGCCTGGCTTGATGATGGAAGAGGAAAGGAATTGGGGAGGTAGATCTACCTCGAACCCATTTGATCCCTCTTTTTCAGAGGAGAAGAGCCTTTTTGTACTCCGAAGCACGGAGTACACGCCCGCAGTCGACTCAGGTTCTAGGTCGTTGATGGCACTGGTGCTGATGTCTCCAGGCACGGGAGGAAAAAGCCCTGGGGAGCGACAGATCTCCAAGATGTCCATCATCTGACTTGTGCGACTCTTTCGTAGGGAATGAGGGTGGCCCTTTTGGACTCGGGGGCGAGATCCTTCCCTCACTCCTTCCCTACGGTGTAAGCACCAGTCAGTCATGGCAGGATGGGAGACGCCACGTCGTGCAGGTCCATCGAAGGTCCTCTTTGCTTGCTCTGGTTAGTCAGGTGAAGCGCGAGCAGTAGTAGAGAATGAGGGGTCTACATGCCGGTTTGCAGTGCGAGTCAAGAGATGCTGATTGGTGGTTTCAACTCACTTGAACACTGTGAATCAGTCGGTTCAACCATCCCAAGAAAAGGTTAAAATAACAACGTTCGAAACCACCACCCAGTATCCCGTTGGATCCTCATCATTTCCCTGCGGCTTTGTGGGGAGGGGAGGACGTTGCATCTGCGCAGAAGTCACACTCAGGCCTCCTTCGGTGATCATCGACTGATTGTCCAACCGAAGTCACGCACCATCCCAAAAAGGAAACGGCGTCCTCCACCCAGTCAAAGCTATCCTCCACCTTGGACAGGCAAGGACACAAAGCACACAAGCCTACTTCAGGGAGGAGAAACCAGGGGCAATGAGCTTGTAAACCCAAGCCCTACAGGTTCAGTCAGATCCAGGTCCAAACCTGGTCCTTGACCCCATCGAGTACCAGTAAAATGAGGTCTGAAAGGTGATTCAAGCCGAGTGAGTGCGAATCAGAATCTGGTTGAATCAACTGTCAACGTGGTCGTCCACCAGCAAAAGCCGTCTTGGCAGCCGTCAGGTCGTCAGGAGTGATTCGAGGCTTGGTGATGAGATCAGTAACCACGTCCGCGTCGAAGGTCTTGAGAAAATGCCCAAGTCCTGAGTAATGTCTATGTCATAGACCAATGTCGTAGTGCAATGTCACTGAGTCACAATGTCATGCCCAGAAACCACATGGAAACCACACCAGGATCGACACACCCCATGGCCTCGACACACCCACCCCACGTGGCGAACCTTCGACTCGCAGTCTTCGCACTTCAGAGATTTCCATTCTCATCCCTTTCAGGTCGTCGTCCCAGACCTTGGTTCAACACGTTTTCGGACGGACCTGATCTGAAGCGACGACGGTCTCCTCTCACTGGGCTCTCCTGCTTCCTCCCGCTGTCGGTCCTCCTGACACTTTCACCGACCGAACCGTCTCTGTCTTTCGCCCAACACCGCTGGAACATGTGGGGGGGGGGCAACATGGATTGGATTTAAAACCACTTTCTTTGAGAAAAATAGAAGCAGTTTTGGGCGACCTCCGACCAAAACAATGGACATGTATTGCAGAGGGTTTCTGTTTGATCTTGATAAAACCACTTTTTGCCGGATCCATTTTTGGCCAGCAGCTTTTGGAGGCTGGTGCTTCATCGCCATAGAAGCAGGGGAGAACCCAGTCATTCGGGGTAACACTCCGTTGGGCTCAACCACTCTCGATCCACTCTCAGGTGAATATATATATATATTATATATCCCTATGCTTTACCACTTGGGTCACTGATGTCTGTAGAATGATGGGTGGCAAGAGATAAATCTTTATAAAGACTGGCAAGGGCGTTCCTATAGAATGCAACACCAAATGGCACTCTAGTTTCAGGTCTCTGCAAGGATGCAGTCTCTATAGAATCTCATTAGCAAAAGCCTTAGACTACTATAATGAATATGAAAAACCCGATGAATGAATGAGACCAAATAGTGGGATAACATTATAGGGACTGGCCGGCTATCTCCCTCCGTTGAGGGACTAGAAACAAAGACATAGGCTGCGGCAGGCGGCAGCACCCTAAGAGACAACAAAAAGCTTACCTATAGCCATCTATAGCCTATATGACTTATTATTACTTATTAGTTTCCCTCTGTTTTGCTCTTGTGTTCTTTCTTCTCCCTTCACTTCATAATAGTGAACCATTCCACCATTAGCGTGGAAAAATTAGCGGTGACCTCCATACAATTAAATTTCACTTTTTAAGGTGTGAATGCTGCGGTACATGTCAACACTTCAATTCTCTCTACAATACTTCCAGATCCACAGGCTCCTACAGTATTCATCCTATCAATTGCCAAACAAGATCTCCACTGCAAAATATAAAACATCCATGTCACTGTCACAGCACCCTTCTTCTTACGAAACGCCACCAAAAGCCTCATGGAAAGCATTGGGTTGCCTGTTTTGCCGGTTGGCCTTACTAGTTTTGCATGTGCCGTGCTGAGAAACATCCAGAAACCTGACAGGGCCCAGCTCTTGAGGCTCCAGGTTTTTGTAAATCTGCTCGACCAAGGGGTCTTCTCTACCACCAGAACAATGAGTCTGCTTCACTTCCCCCTGTTGATGTCGCACTTCTCAAATCTCCTGTCGCCCTCGGCCCACACTGGCACTGATGAAGAAAAAATCCATGCACGCTCTGAACCAACAGCACCAGCCTTTCTTTCTTCAGCTCCCCTTCCCACCTATTCCCACCTCCACCTTCGCCCTTCCCGCCACCCTTCCTCGGCCACTCGTCGGGCGAAGGCGCGAGCGGACTCCGCCATCTCCTCGGCCTCACAATGCCACGGGCCGAGTGCAGCAGCGAACGCAGGGTGCGTAGGTTGATCAGCGACTCGGAACTGGACCCATGAATCATATGACTTGGAAGTCAGATGTCCAACCCCCATGGAACTGCGTCCAACGTCAACACCGCACCATCACACCGCGGGCAGGAACAGGAATCGGAGCATCGCTCCTCTTCGGCGGAACCGCCCAAGCAAAATGCTGGACCGTTCCACCCGTTGCTGTTGGGGTGAACATGTTCTGGATTGTAGATCCCATTATGACTTATGAATCACCACAACAAACAACCCTCCAAAACTTGAGGCCAGAGGGGGTGAACGAAAGCTAGCCGGGCTTCCGGTGGTCTGCTGCTGGTGCTGCTGCTGCTGGTGCTGCTGCTGCCGCTGCTGCGCTGGGCGCTGCTGCGCTGGGTGCTCTGCAGGCGCCGGGTCGTCTGCTGCTGCTGCTGCTG